CTCTGGATTGTCAAGGCAACAGAGAGTACTACCTTGCTACACTTTATCAGTGCATTTGTCAGCCATGATCTGTCTTTGGATGTCCTTCCAAGCTAAAATGTGTTGTTGTTGTAGAGTCATTTCAGTTGCATCACTTTTCATGACCCGATTTGTGATTTTCTTGGCAAAGATATTGGAGTAGTTTGCCATTCCCTTCTCTAGCCCATTTTACATAGGAGAAAACTGAGGCAGGGTTAAGTGACTTGCCCAGGGTCATGTAGCTAGTAAGTGTCTGAGGCCAGATTTGAACTCCGGAAGATGAGTCTTCCTGACTTCAGGCCTGGCACTCTATCCACTGTGACACCTAGCTGCCCCAAGCTAAAACAGGATGTTTATTTTTAATAAATCCCATGTACCTACCTTAATTTAATAACACATCTAAGGACTACTTGCACAGCTGTGGGGCCCTTCATTTTGCAAAAGGCTGTCCACACATTTCATTTTTTGAGCTAACTTCATATATCTGAAAAAAATAACTTTTTGGGAACAGTCTTACATCTTTTCAAAAAAATCTCCTTTGTAAAATTCACAAAGATGGTGATTTGATATGTGAGGAAAAACATATTTCAGTAATACAAGCTTTTTAAAAAATTATAATTTTAGAACTTCCCAGATGATGGTTGAGTGAGAAAATATGGAGCCAGAGGCCCTCATTATTCCTCTCAAAAGAATAACAAAAAAATTCCAAAAGCAACGATTTCTAGAAATGAAGAAAAGTAAAATCAATAAATAAGATGAGACACCTGTTTTTAAAAAAATTGTTTAAAAGAAGTAAGGTGAGGAAGAACTCTATTAGTATGATACCAGAAACATGAGAGACACATTTAACAGCTGCCCACAAATAAAAGGTAACTTGAATGAAGTGGTTTAAAAATCTCTGGAGAAAGGGGCAGCTAGGTGGTGCAGTAGATAGAGCTCCAGCCTTGGAATCAGGAGAACCTGAGTTCAAATGTAGCCTCAGACACATGACACTTAGGAGCTGTGTGACCCTGGGCAAGTCACTTAACCCCAATTGCCTCACTAAAATAAAAATCTCTGGAGAAACTGAATATGTTAAATACAGCTAAAAACATATCTCAGTATTAAGTACCAAAATCTCTGCAGGAGATAATGAAAAAACTTATCAAAATAAAAAAATTAAACTAGTCATGGAATCAGATTTAGGCTTAATGTTAGGAAAAACTTCCTAACAATTCAAGTGACTCCCAAAGTGGAATAGACTTCCTCACCGGGGAGTGGGCTCTCCCTCATGCCTTGTTAACTTTTTCCAACCCAGATTCTGTGATCTCTTATATTCAGAACTTGTAAAGAAATGACAGATGAAATGAAATACAAGAACCAGACCCAATTTCCAGTAAGTAATTGATCAAAAGATACGAACAATTTACAAAAGATTTCAGATCTGTAATCTAATTAATGCCAATTAAGACAATTTTGAAGTAATGCCTTTCGCACCCATTAAATTGGCAAAGATAAAAATGGTTAAAAAAAGCAATGTTTGGTGTCTGCAGGAAGACACAAACACAATTATGCCAATGATGAAATTGTAATTGGTGTGCAGTTTTGGTGCAGGATAATTTGGTGTACAGGTAAGTTAAGAGAATTAATTGTACCCTTTGACCTTGTGATCCCATCACTGGGAATATACCTTAAGGATAAAATTTAAAGGAATAAAAGACCCGTTTTTAAAACTATGCATATCATTTAATGAGCATTTATTAAGCACTGAAAGACAAAAGTCAAACATCCTTGCCCCTGGGAACTTTCGGTCTAGGTCTAGCCAGGGAACACCTGCACATACATATGCATGTACAAAATAAATATAAGATGGTTCTAGGGAAATGGCACTTGAGGATGGAAAGATCTGGAAGGAATTCATGTAGAAGGTGGCACTTGCTGAGTCTTAAAGCAAAGTAGGAATTTCAACAAGCAGATGTGGGGGACAGCCAACACAAAGACATAGAAGTTATAATTACATTCTTTGTAATAGAGAAATGCTAGAAATAATATGTCTTCTGGTTTTGGAATGGCTGAGCAAATTGCAGCATATCAATGTAATAGAATAGTGATAAAATGATAATGTTTAGAAACATAAACATGTAAAGGTATACAGAATAATGTAAAGAAAACCAAAATACAACATATAGTGTCTAGATATGTTTCTTATAAGCATTAGAAAGAAAGGGATGGGGGGGTCATAAAATTTATTTTTAAGTTTATTTTTATTATAAATATTTCTACTGTTTTTCTGGAGTTGGAATTTTCTTGTTTAAAATAAGTTTTGATTTTTGTTTTTAACTGCAGTGTTAATACTTTTTTGCTTAAGGGGAATACACACACATATACACATATGCAGTGTCAGCCAGAGATACAGACAGAGATGGGGCAAGGGAGGGGGTGGTGAGAGACAAAGTGAAAGAAAGGGAGAAGGGGAAAGAGATTGAGAAGAGGGAGGGGAAAGGCAGAAGGGGAAGGGGAGAGAAAGAACAAGAAGGGCAAAGGGAAGAGGAAGAATATAGAGGTAAGATGCTGCATATGCTTTCCAGAACCTATCACAATGTGAGCTGCTTTTAACTGTTTTGCAGTTTAAGGGAGAATACAGCGGTGGTGGATGGCATCAGGAACAGATCTTATTGTAAAAAATAAGTCCTATTGCTTGAATGTGATTTTCATTATAATGGAAAATAGGTCTCCAAAGGTGTGATGAAAATTTTACAAATATTTCTTGCCAAGTAGAATCTTGCTGCATGACCGTTCTTCAGTTGAAGAAACAGGGGAGTAAATCACAGTGAGAAACTGTTCTGAGGAGCCAGACCCTGTTGTGGCCTCTAAAGATAAATTTCAGGATAATCAGGATTTCCTTTCTTTCTGTACTCAAACTCATCTTTAAATCAGAATATTTATATTTTACTTCTATTGGGAAGTAGGAATATTGAAATAGACAAACATGAACAAAATAAAAATTAAGAAAATCCGAAATGCAAGAGTAAATAATTTGCATGCATAACCATGCAATTGTTATTGGTATTTTTTTAAAAAGAAGATATGTACGTTTACTTTAACGAGATATTAACAAAATCATCCTGTTTGTTGGTGTGATTCCTTATGGAAAACTTTTCTGTGAAATAGCTTTTTTTGTGGGTTTTTTTGAACCAGACCTTGGATTTCATTGGTTTAGAGAATTCCTGTGGAAAAAAACCCCTCCACCAACACAGATTGATACCTGCTCTGCAATTTAGTGTTTGAGTCTCCTACCAGAGTTTAACCTGAGAGGTTAAATATCATATTTACATAGTCATAGTCAATTTGTTTATGTGTGTATATATGTATGTGTCTATGTGTGTGTGTACATATATATACTATATATAATTACAGAAGTATACACACATATATATAACCTATATAAGTACACACACACACATACATACATATACCCACATATATACTTAGGGGGTGTATGTATGTACATATATTCACATACATAGAATTTTGCTTCCAATTTCTTTATTTTGCATTACTTTATGTCTCTCCACATCTCTTTCAATTCTTAATATTCGTAGTTTATGACAGTAATATTCCATTAAACGTATATTTGTTTAGTCATTCCTTAATTGTAGGCCATCTACTTTATTTCTGGTTTTTGCTATAACCCAGTGTTACTAGAAATATTTTTGCTTTTAAACATAGGGCTTTCTTGTCAACCTCTGTGGACTATAATCCCAATAGTGAGAACACTAGGTTAAAGGGCCTGTGTATTATTGTAATATTATTGATTGTTTCACATCATCTTCCAAAAAGATTGTCTATTTTTAACTCCAACAGCATTATGATAATTTACCTGTTTTACCATTGCCATGCCAGTATTGAATATCGTCTTTTATTATCTTTGCTAATTTGATGGGTATCAGTGGAATCTCAAAGTTTGCTTTAATTTGCAGTTCTCTGGTTATAAATATTTTGAAACTTTTTTCATGGATGATAGTTTTCAATTCAATTAAATTCAAAAGGCACTAAGATACAAAGACTAAAGGAAAAATGAAAGATAAGCCGTCTTTGAAGAAAGATCATTTGAAGAAACTGAGATTCTTAACTACAGGATCAGGAAAGGCTTGCCATAGGAGGAACCTTCTAAATTGGGGTCTTGAAGTGAAGGACTCTCATAGATAGAGGTGAGATCATCATAGGTGTGGACATCCTAGGCAGAAACACAGAGGTAAGCTAGAATGCTTTCTAAAGAACTTTCAAAATATTGTCCATTCACATCTTCTGCCCACTTATCTACTGGGAGAATGAATGGCTTTTGCTTTTGTAAATTTGCATCCATCTGTTATAAATTTTAGGTGTAAGAATTATTAAGTGTTTAAGCATAAGATATTTTTTTTCTTTCACTATTTTCCTTTCCTTTTATTCTGGGTGTATTGCCTTTCATTGTGCAAAGGTTTGTTTTTTTTTAAGTTTTACACAGTCAAGTTAATTTTATTTCACTGAAGTCATAGCTAATTCATCCCTTTACCAGAATGACCTAACATTACCATTATTTTCTAGGTTTTTTAATTCATATTTAGTTTTTTAAATTTTATTGATATATTTTGTTTTCACATCAGGTTCTTCATTTAAAACATTCCTCTCTCCCTTACCCACAGAGCTATTCCTTATAACAAAGGATAAAAAAGCAAAGTGAGGGAGAAAAAGTTCATCAACCAATCAGATAGTCCTGCTCCAAGCCTAACAAAGGTTGGAGTTACCCTAACAATATTTCCAGCTCTTGTCATAATGTATGGAATTTTTTTTTAAAATATAAAGGCCTTTCAGAGGATTCCAAACAATTTATTACATTGATTCCTATTCTACTTGAGAGGCTACTTGAATTAAAAGAATCTGACTCAGAATAATGATATTAAGGGCTTTATGTTTCAAGGTATAACTTGAACAGTCCATCAATATCACACAAAGAACAGCAGTATTTCAATGAAGTCATTTTATTTATAGTAGTACTTAATAGGATTGTAATTCAAAGACATAAACAGTGAAAATACCTCTTCTGTCAACTGCATTAAAATTTTGAGACAAAGTCCTCCTTAAAAAGAAAAAAATAAAATTTGATTTCTACCATGTAAAACCTAGTCTTCCTTTAGTCCTTCCAATACTATCAACTTCCACTGGTCTCCTAGAGGCATAACTAGGGAGTTGGGTTCCATAGAAATCCCTTGACTGATAGCTGGGCCTGATTCCACCTCTCTCCATAAAAGGCAGGCCTCGACCACCTCCAGGACCAAACTTTACAGCTCTTAACAGAGGGTAAATATTGTTAGTTGACTTTGATTCAGATTCAATGACTTCTCTTGCATATTGCTTAAATTCCTTCTCCTTTTCAAGAGCAAGAGCTTCAGTCTCTCTGTAATATTCCAAATCATTTTCCACTTGTTCTTTTAAATTAACCTTCTTTTTAGCCTATTTGAAAAAGAAGAGAGAAATTACACATTGGCCAACACAATCAGAATGCTAGTTCAATTAAATTTGTTTTATAAAATAGTTGTGTCTGACTATATACCAAGCCTATTATGAGTTTAAGCTGCAAGTCAGAAATTTTCTAAAATTTCTAAAGATACGTACCAACTAAAATTGTAGCTATAATCTTAAGGCTTTCAAAACCTCTGTTCTTATCTAAGTGAAGGAAGTCATACAAATATGCCTATTGAGTCTACTACAAATTTATTTCAACTGGGCCCTCACTGTATATACTTCATTGTATGTGTATGTGTGTATATATGTATATGCTTGTGTGTACATGTACATATACATACATATGGAATACCTTATTCTTCCCTGAAACGCTCTACCACACTCCTCACAGAGGCAATTCTAAACCTCTTCTCTCTTCAGTTTCCCTACATTCCCCTCCCTTGCCCCTCAACAGAACTTGCCTGTTTTACTGAATAAACTGAGCCCATCTGACAAGAGCGCCTTCCCCCTAACCAATCCATTGACACTGGCCCCCATTCTCTTCTCCTTTGCTTCAGGCCAAGGCCAACACCTCCATTAGTGTCCTTAATTCAAACTCTTTCCATCATTCGAGTTCTCCTTCTGTCTATCTTCCTAAACTTTGCCATGTCTGTTCATTCTCTTGTTGCCTACAAAAACATTCATCTCCATCCTTAACCTTTACTTACCCCTGCCATCCTTCTGAACTATTTTCCTAAATCACTTCTCACCCTCACACTCAAACTCTTAGGGAAAAAAAAATCATCCATACTTATTGCTTCAGTTACTTTACCTCTTATTCCTCAATTCATTTCAATGGCTTCAACATACTACTTTAATAAAACTATCTTTACCAATGTTCTTTAACTGCTAAATTTTACAGCCTTTTCTTAGTCCTCATCCTTCCTGACCTCTCTGTGGCTTTGGACAAAGTTGTCCATCTCCTCCTGGATACTCCCTCTCTTGGCTTCTTTCTATGACACCGTTCTCTCCTGGTCCTTCTCACACCCAACCATTTCTCATTTTCCTTGGAAAATCATCTATCTGTCCTCCTGCCTTCTAAATGTGAGCATCACTCATGGTTAGGTCCTAGGGTCTCAAATCTCACTATACCTTCTTTTTTTGCTGATCTCATCTGCTCCTATGGGTTAATTGTTGCCTCTACATAGATAACTCCTAATTCTATATATATGCAATCCTGATACTTTTCCTGATTTCAAGTCCCACATATCCAATTGCATGTGGGATAATCTCTCTCAAACATCTCAAACTTAACATGTCCCAAACTAAACTAATTTACCTTCCCTTTAAACCCTACCTTCCTCCAAACTTCTATATTTCTGCTAAGAACACTACTATCAAATTCAGTTACACAAGTTCCTTCTTTCTTTCACATCCTCTTTACCCAATCAGTTGCCAAATCTTATCCATTCCTTAGAGAAACTCCTCCCCAGCAGCTCTCATACCCAATCCATTGCTTTCACTCATCCAGCCTAGATCAGAACCTTATTACCACTTGTGTGGACTACTCAATTGGTTTCCTGATTTCCCTTGCCAATACATCTGCACAACTGCAATACTAATATATTCTGATCTGACCATGTCACTCCCCTGCTAAAAAGTTTTTTTAATTTATTTTTTTGTTACATTTTAAGTTCCAAGTTGTCTCACTGTCTCCCCACCCTGGACTAGAGAAGGCCACCATTTGACACAGATACACACACACACATATATATACATAGCTACATATACACATATGTGTGTGTATGTGTGTATAAAGTCATACTATGCATACTTCTATTTATCAGTTCCTTCTCTGAAGGTAGATAGCATCTTCTTCATATGTGTGTGTGTGTATAAATATATATTTATATGTATGCATGTATGTATTCAAGTGGTACAGATTTCCCTGGTATGCATATCTAAATTTCCCTGTTACCACAATTTGCTTCAGAAAAGGAACTTGTGAGGTTCCTCCCCAATTTCATGTCTATGTTAAGGGACATATGGGAAAAGAACAAATCAAAGGACAGGAATCTCATGGCCCTCTGTACTTTATATGTTTTCTGTAGTTTTGTGCTGAAAAAAAGCTTACAAGTATAAAAAAGCATGAGAAACATGCTATTTTTCAGCTTACAAAATTAACAGTGCATGGGAATTTCAATTTAGTTAAAATAATTATAAAATCAAAACTGCTGCTATAAGTCATTTAGTTTAAAAATCTCAGTCCCAAAAAAAAAACAAAATTTTTTTAAAAAAATCTCAGTCCCTCCCAATCTTCCCCAGAAAATATAACATATTGTCAGTGTACTTGGAAAGACAAAGAAAGACATGCTGTTCCTGCTACTTGGCCAGACAGTGTGCATTTTTTAATAAGAAAAAAAACACTTAGGGATAAGAATATTTGCATAATTACTATCTGCTGAATGATGAATGTTTGTGTCTCCTTCTTTTCCTCATCTGCTTTTCGCTGTTTTTCCTTTTCGTGCTTCCAAAACAATTGATCTGCCTTAATGAGAGCTTTCAGAGTTTCTTCGGCTTCTTTTTTTTCTTGCTTTTTATGCTCCTTTTTACTTTCAATCTAGATTTGTACAGGAAGAAAAACAATTTTTCAATCAACTAAAGGAGAAAGAAAGAGAAATCTGTGGCCAGTTGCCTGAAAAATGAACTTGCTTATTTTCAAAAGAAATACAAGTTAACAATAACTATAAGAATAATGTTCTAAACCACTAATTGTTAGTGAGTGATTAACTCAGTTATTTAATACTGAAAATTAAAATAACTGAGGTTTTTACCTAACAGTCATCAGATTGGCAAAGACAACAAAAGATAATGTAAGTGTTGGAGGGGCTATGGAGAGACAGACACACTTGGCAGTTATGGGATGGAACAATAATTCTAAAAAGCTTTTTGGAATTATACTGAAAAAGTCACAATACTTTGATCTTGCAATATCATTGATAGTTATAGGGAAAAGTCCCATATATGCTAAAATATTTAGAGCACTACTTTTTGTTGTAGCAAAGAATTGGATAGATTGGGAAAATGGATGAATAAATTATAGTATATGAATGTATTGGAATATTATTGCAGCATAAGAAATGATGACTGCAGAATTCAGAAAAATTTGGAAAAACTTATATGAACTGATACAGAGCTAAGAAAACAAAATCCGAAGAACAATTTACATGATGACCACAGGAATGTAAAGGAAACAAAAGACTGAAAGATTTTAGAACTATGATTAATGCAGTAATTAATCATGACTAGAATGATTAGTTCACGATAGTGACGTATACTTCCCGCCTCTCAAGACAGAAGTGGTGGACTAGAGGTGTGGAATGAAGTACACATTTTCAGACATGGCCAATATTTTCTTGATTTGTTTTGCTAGACTGCAACCAAGGATTATTCCTTACAACCAAGAGTTCTAATGAGTGTGCTGTGGTGGGGAGATAAAGGCAGAAGCCACTGGGATGTGGCAATGTTTTTAAATGAACCTGCTTGAATAGTGCAGTGATAATGAAGCCATGGTCTGAGGGCTGATTCCGATATGGGTCAGTTAGCTTTGTCTGTCTGGTCTGGTCTCCTAATTCCATGTAAAACTCAAGAATAATGGATCAAATACATCCCAGTGGTGAAAAAGAAACCTTTAGGATAGCTGTCATTTATATAATGCATTATAGTTTACAAGCAGTTTTACATACATTATCATTTAATATTCCTAACCTTAGGTAAATCAGATGAAGAAACCTGGTACTAGAGGGATGGACTTGCCCAAGCCCACAAAGCCAGGCAACTGTGGAGGGGTAATAAGCCTTATTCCAAATCCAGTGCTTTGTCTACTATATCACAGCTACCTTTGAGATGGACCATGAGCACAATCTTTATATAAGCACATATACATATAAATAACTGCTATGCAAATTAGACATCTGTGTTCATTTTATACTTCAAATTGAAAAAAAATTATTTTGTCCTACAGTTTTTCTAAATAATTTAAATAAAATGTTTACTTGGACAATCATACTTTCTTATATTTTGTTAATTCTAAAGTATTAAATTAATTTAATAGCTATGAATACCTTGACATTTTAAATAGGACTATGTTTTGGAGGGCCAGAATCCAAAGCACTAGCCCTGAAGTGCCAAGAATAAGGAGTTTCCCTAGACCACCCAAGACATATTGTTCACCATCCCTCTGCTACATAATCCTTGGTTCAGAAGGCAGGAACCTCAACTGAAGGGTTTGTTTTTAGGGTTGATGAGAGTAGAGAGCTCCTGCAGCCCCTTTTTTTCTTTCTGAACAAAACAATAAACCCAAACAGTTACAAAAACTACATATTCATGATCAGACTGGTAGGAGGAAGCTAGACCTCCCCCCTCTTCCCAGTTCCCCTAATGAGCTCACTGTGACATATCGTAATGAAAAGAACCCTAGATTAGGAGTCAAAAGACCTGAGTTTTGGCCTAGTCACATCATTTCTGTGGCCCTCAGTTTTCTCTACTACCAAATGATGAGTTGTAGTAGGAGATGATCACTAAAGTTCATTCCAGCTCTGATGTTCTATGACGGATTCCACAATTTTCTAAGTTATTAATGTTATATTACCTCTGAAGTACAAAAATAACTTAGGGCTTTTTTTTAAAGTTTAGCTTTGCAGGAAAATTATTTTACCCATTCCTAACTCTGGACACTTCAACTTTTCTTAAAAGAATACTCTGAATACTTTACCACTGCATCTCTATATTCTTCAATCTCTTTTATTTTTGCTTTCCTTCTTTCTTCTTTTTCTTTTTCGGCCTGTACCTTTTCAGCCTCAGCTTCTGCAATATCTCTGGCAATAAGCTCATCTTCATTGTCAAGTTTTTTTCTATTAAGTTCATTCAGGAAGTTAAAAATCCTTTCTTTACGTTCTTCCATCAGCCTACGATAGAATTGCCATAACTTGTCAAAAATAGGTAAGGATGGGCTTGTTAGGGAGCTACTGTAATTTAATTAAGGAATCTGGAACATTTTCAAATTCCTTGTTCTTTACATTACTTGGTCCATAAAAAGCCTCATTAAGTACTTTACAACTCTTTTTCCCCCCACTTCCCAAGGTCCTTAGTGTGTCCTGAATGTCCTGAATTTTTCATTATGCTGTCACCTTAGCATGGCCTCCCAACAAATATGGACCATGTGAATATATTTATAAATACAATAGGTATATTTCTTTAAAGGAGACTATTGTTGAATATATAGGAAAACCAATGGAAACCTGGAAGTGGGAAGATCCTTTAGTGCGTACCCATAAATCCACAGGTGTGAGTATGATGAAAACACCATATCAGGCTACAACATATAATCTTGCCTAAAATAATGGGGTTAGACTGAATGATCTATAAGTTTCCTTCCCATTAAACATCTATAAATAAATGATCCTATGATCTGAGACTTTGACTATAAAAATTTCACAGAAAAACATTCTTCAGATGAAATGAGATCATATATGTGAAGTGCTCAGCACAGTGCCTGGCACATCCTGAGTGCTGCCTGAGTACTTGCTGCCTTCCCCTTTCACACAGATGTTTCCTTTTAGAGAACTATGAAAGTTCTGAAAGAATGACTATCAGTCTGTGTTTGATATTCAATCACACTTACAATTAATGGGGACGGGTATATCTTACAGATTGTGCAAAACCAAACTTTTAAAATAAAAATATGTGATTCATGCACTAAATATTTTCTGAGAACCTGTGTACAAGCTAGTATATGAGGTATTATGAATAATACAAAGATGTGTAAAACTTGGTCCCTGCCTTCATGGTACCGGCAGTCTGATATGTGAAATAAGGTTTATAAACAAACAACATTCTAAAGTAGAATGTGTAATTGTAAAGTATCCAAACTGGGGCTTGGGGGGCTTATCTGTTTTTCCCACACCACTTAGCAGTAAATTCTCTTTAAATGGCTGACTTCTATGATAAGTCTATGGCCATACCAGAAAAATGAAACAGTCCATTCACAAAACTTATTGCTAATTGTCTAACTGTTGTTCAGTCCTTCAGTTGTGTCCAACTCTTCGTGATGCCATGGACTTGCCCATGGGATTTTCTTGGAAAAGATAATGGAGTGGTTTGCTTCTCCAAGGTGTCTCCATTTAACAGATGAGGAACTGAGGCAAACAGGGGCTAAGTGACTTGCCCAAGGTTACACAGCTAGAAAATGTTTGAGTCCAGATTTGAATGCAGATCTTCCTGACTCCAGGCTAGGTACTTTATCCACTGCACCACATAGCTACCCTGAAGGCCTAATAACTGGGATTAAATTTGTAGGGGAGAAGGGAGTATAGTTATCTTCTCTTTGGTTTCAAATGAATGGGAAAGTAGCTGCTAAGGGTCTCCAGTTGGTGGCATGTTCCTCTAGGCTTGGGGAGGTTGTGGTGGGGAGTGGGCTATCTGGCTTTGGTCTTCTGTTGATCCCACTAGTATAAGCCTATCACCTGCCAAGCAGCCTGAAGGTAGGACCTTTGATTCTCCCTTTACACAAAAAGAGATCTCACTCCCTCATATCTCATGATGTTCTTTATCAGCCTTCCCTAATTCTAAGGTCTATACCATGTGGGACTCCAGGGCACAGAGGCCAAACTGAAATTTTGCTTAATTTTTTGTTTTCATAGTCCTTGGGCCTAGATGTATAAAAACGCATTATTATTTCCCACAAGTGTAAAAAAAAAATCTAACATATGAGGTACGGTTACAGGAACCAAGGATTTTTAGCCAACAAAAAAGAAGGCTTAAGAGGAAAGGTTCATAACCCTTTATACATTCAGTTCAATTCAACAAATATTTATTGAGTACCCTCCAACTGTAAGCCACTATGCACAAAAATTATTGAGACACTATCTCCAAGTGTGTCTCCAAAGAAGACATGGGAAATGCACCTCTCTCCCTTCACTGGAGAGGTGAAGAACCATGAGTATGGAAAACTTTGTATATATTGTTAGATTTGGTTGATGGGTTGATTAGTTTTTCTGAACTGCTTCTTTATCTTATTTGCTTCTTACTTTTTGTTACAAGGGACAGTTAGTTGAACAGAGGAGCTGGAAAAGATTTATTTGGAAGTTAACGTAATATAAAAACAAATGACATCAATAATTAAAAAAAAAAAGACATGGTCCCCAGCACAGAGTAAACCAATCCAGCTAAAATTAGGAGAGGTAAACAAATGAGAAAAAAAACAAAACCACAGCAAATTTCTCTGAAAAAAGTCTCATTTCTAAGATATATAGGGAACTGATCCAAGATTATAAGAATAAGAATAAAAATTCCCCAATTGAGAAATGGTCACAGGTTATGAGTAAGCAGTTTTTAAAGGAAAAAAAATCCAAGCTGTCATATGAAAAAATGCTCTAAATCACTAACATAAAAATGCAAATTAAAATTCTGAGGTTCTACCTCACACCCATAGGATTGGAAACGTTGACAAAAAAAGACATGCTGGAGGGGATGTGGGAAATCAGGGACATTAAATCTTTGTTGGTAGACCTATGAACTGGTCCCTCCATTCTGGAAAGCAATATGGAACTATGCCCAAAAAGCTACTGAAGTGGGTTCCCACTTTGACCCAACAATACCACTACTAGGTCTCTCCTCCAAAGAAATCAAAGAAAGAAGAAAAAGACCAATATGTACAAAATATATTTATAGCAGTTCTTTTTATATTGGCAAAGAACTGGAAACTGAGGAGGGGTCTGTCAATTAGCAAGTGGCTGAACAAGTTATGGTGTATATGATGGAACTCTATTGTGTTATAAGAAGTGATGAAATGCATGGTTTCAAAGAAACTTGGGAAGACTTGTATGAACTGATGCACAGTGAAGTGAACAGAACCAGGAGAACAATTTATACAATAACAGCAGTACTGCCAAGACAAAAAACTTTTAAAGATTTAGGTACTCTGATCAACACAATGACCAACCACAATTCCAGAGGACTCAAGATAAAATATACTAACCATTTCCTGACAAAGGTAATAGACTCAGAGTGCAGATTGAGACTTTTTTTGGACATGGCCAATACTGGAATTTGCTTTGATTATACTTCAGTAACAGGGATTTTGTTTTTCTTGCTTTTAACTGGGGAAGGGGAAAAGTGAGAATACAGACCTGAATATAAAATTTAATTTTCTTTCTTTCTTTTTTTTTTCCTGGTTAGGTAATGGGGTTAAGTGACTTGCCCAGGGTCACACAGCTAGTAAGTGTTATGTGTTTGAGGCCAGATTTGAACTCAGGTCCTCCTGACTCCAAGGCTGGAACTCTATCCACTGCGCCTAGTGATGTCTAAAAATTTAATTTAAAAAGAAAAGATTAAGTAGTAATTGCCTGATTGCCTAAAAGAGAAAAATTTTTTGAAGTTTAAAAAAAATTTTTTTAAAAAGATATGATCCCTACCTTCAAGGAACCTATAGTCTAGTTAAAGAAACTGACGATTTATGCAAAAATATAAAATAGAAATAAAGTGAAGGTACATAAAGAAAGATAAACAAAGTACTTTGAGAGTTCAAAGGCAGGATAAATTGCTTCTGGCTAGAAAGGAAGAAGGCTTAGACTTTTTTTTTTATAACTAAGGGAAAAAACTAGGAACAAAGATGAAAGGAAGTTATATGGAGGAAAAGTTGGCTCACAGTGAAAATAACTTTCTTTTTTTTGTTGTTAATTTTGTTCCACTTAACAGTATTTTATTTTTTCCAATTACAGGTAAAGACAGTTTTCAATATTCACTTTTATAAGATTTTGAGTTCCAAATTTTTTTTCTCCCTCCCTTCCTCCCCCCTCACCAAAATGGCAAACAATCTGATATAGGCTATACATGTACAATCATATTAAACATAGTGAAAATAACTTTCTAACAGGCAGAGCTGTTCAACAATAGAATCAGCTAACTCATGAAATAGTGAATTTCTTCTCATCGGAAGTGTTTCAGCAGAGACTGAGTGACGACTTATCAGGAATTTCTAAGGGTGATTCCTTAATCAGGTAAGTAAGTGACCTGACCTCTAACATTCCTTTCCAACTCAAAGATCCGTGATAATCCGAATTACCAAAAATATGTTATGCTACCAACCATTCCCATGGCCTGCTTATAAAGATAAGCAGAAAAACCAATCAGGCTCATTTCTCCAAATTACAATTTGGCCTGGACACAACCCAAGTACTTTCATCTTAAGACTGTCCAGTTATGTACCGGTATAATAAGCAACTACGGCTATTCTAGGTCTTATGTGTCATTATCATATATTCACAATTACTGACAAAGCAATTATTTCAGATACCATTTAATTATCTAAAGTGTAGCTTACTTGTAAGTTTCAGCATCTTTTTCTTTTCTAATATTTGCCAGACCCTTCTTTGCTTTGACAAATTTTCTAATTTTTTCATCTTCCTCCTCTCGTTGTTGTTCCTCTATCGCTCTGATTATATTTCTATTTTCCATGGTTTCCTTGAAAAAATAAAAGAACATTAAATAGTTCAGTTTTTTATAACAAAAGATGAAAAGATGAACTAATGTTCCTATTAGTATTCATAATTTCATGGCCACAGGCTACTATAAGAAAGCTATCAATGTCGGAAACCTCTTTTTGCCTGCCATCTTGCAAAAAGAAGCATCTGGCTAGAGCTGGATGGGACCTGAGAGGCAACCTAGTCCAGCCCCCTCATTTTACAAATGGAAAAACTGCGGCCAAAATGTTGTGACCTAAATGACAAGAAGGATGTAAGCAGATGAAACAACAAAATTCCGTCGCCCAACTGGTTAATGGTTCAAAATTCAAGCCCTCTTATGGTTCAGAAGCATCATCCATTCAAAAGTTACCTGTTAAACACCTGTATCAACATGGCACGATGCTGTGGTAGAAACAAAAAAGAAGACCTAGTGCCTGTCATCATGAACTCTACAGTTTCAATACAGAAGTAAGACCTACAAAGCATAAAGTTAACCATTAAGAAGAGTTCACTAGTAAAATCACTGAAGATGTCTCTTCACAAGGCAGTGCAAATGTTAACTCAAAGTAGTTTAGATAGTTAAGTATAAGGAATTCAGAAAAACAGATCACTTGAGCTGTAAGAGTCAGAGGAAAATTTCATGATGGAAGTTATTTGTGTTAAGCCTTGAAGGACAGGGTAGCTTTCTACTGGATTCTAGAAAGAGGATATTTTGGATGAGGGGTACATGTAGCAGGAGAAAAAAAAAGAACACATTTCGTATGATCCAGAACCCTGTTTTAAGTCGGGGTATAAGGGGTAAAGGCTTAGGATTAATAACTTGAAAAATGAACCTGGTTAACTCAAAAAGCCATCTCCACATAACCAATCTGTGGCCGTGTCTTGTCACTTCTGTGTTCCCTTCTCTCCACTCACACAGTTGCCACCCTACAGCAAAACCTTCATCATCTCGGACATAGTGTTATTACAATAGCCTGCTGGTTAGTGTCTCCCCATTCCAGTTCATCCTCCACTGAAGTGTGGGTCTGCCCATGTCAGAACCTTACTCAAAAAACCCCAGTGGTTCTCTACTGCCTCCAGGATCAAATATAAAGTCTGTTTGGCTTTTAAGGCCCTTTAAACTTGGTCCTTTTCTACCTTTCCAGTTTTCTTATGTTATTTCCCTTTGTCTACTCTGCAGTCCAGTAACACTGGCCTTGCTGTTCCTCACACACAGTGCTCCATCTCCTGATTCCCTTTTCACTGATCAACTCCCATGCCTAGAATGCTCTCCCCCCTCTCCTCTCCAGGTTTCCTTCAAGACTCAGCTGAAATCATTCTTGTTGTTACTGTTGTTCCTTCTTCATTCTTGAAGAAGGCCAATGACATTAGAAGGGTGATGTCTTGACTTGCAAGTGAATTGGATTTAAGTGAGGCAGGGCTGTGCAAAGTCATCAGCCTCACTCTCTCCTCCAGAGCCATCTGCGTCTAGTGGCAAGACACACTTCCATCATTAACTCCTATCATGAAATTTTCCTCTGACTCTTACAGCTCAAGTGATCTATTTTTCTGAATTCCTTATACTTAACTATCTAAACTATGAGTTAACATTTGTACTGCCTTGTGAAGAGACATCTTCAGTGATTTTACTATTGAACTCTTCTTGCTAATTAACTTTAGATTTGTAGGTCTTACTTCTGTAGTAAGACTGTAGAGTCCATGACGACAGAGACTAGGTCTTTTTTGTTTCTACCACAGCAAAGGAGCTTAATGAAAAGGATATAAGGGGCATTACTAGGGAAATAATTGATAGGATTTGATAACTGATTGGATACAAAAGTTGGAGGAGAGAAAAGAATCAACAACGATTTGAAGTTTGGAGCCCCCTGGATTATAAACTAGATAATACAGAAAGAAAGAAGTCATCATGGGAACCAGATTCTGTATATGTGAAGATTAGACAGTGAAAACAGAGATATTGTAGCTTCCCATTTTCTAGCATTCCTTTCCTTTCCTACGGACTGGAGACTCGACTGTTAGCCATGCCAGGAACTTCTCACACAAATGATCACTCACTCTTTTTTTTAGGGGCTTGCTTGAAACAACTGGATAATCTATTTACAGGTCAAATCACATTATTATAAACTAACCTATTGAGTCTAAAGTCCCCCTTTCCCCAAAATGTGTAGTTCTCCATTTAAAAAAAATGCAAAATAAACCTATCTCCATGAGAGCTGAAGTCTCTTCCTTTTGTAAGTTCTCCTTCAATTCAAGGACTGTCTGGCCAATATTTATGTCTCTATTTCTACCCCACTTAGGAACCAAGCTTAAGATCCTCTCCCACTTCCTATTTCCTAACTCTCTCTTCCGGTGTAGTTACTCCTCTGAGTATTTCCATTATTTCTTCAAAATAAAAGAAAAATCTCTCCCCAAAGTTATCATCAACAAATTTTACTACCTAAAACAATCTAAAAATTGACATAAACACATTGATTCACATTTTAAAATTTTATCATAAAGTTCCAGCTCAGGTACCATATATGGCACCACTTTACCTATCAGAAGGAAGCAACCTGATTAAGAACTAGGAAGAAAAGCAAAAAAAGCTCTCTTCATAGCCAAAGCAAATATCACAAAGTTCACATACTAAAGCTAATATCCTTTATCCATAAGAGGCAAACCTTCAAGACTTGTTTATTTACTCTTACTTTACCCAGAATTCTAGGAAGTTGATTGCTTAGAATTAGAAGGGGATAAAAGAATTGTCATAGGTAGGCACACCGAAAGTGGAAAGCAGTGACAGCTGACAGCAAAGGAATAGAAAGAAAAATTTTAAGACCCTAAGCCAAAAAGTATAGCAATTTGGGGCCATGTAATATAGGAGCGAATAGCCTTACACAACTCAAAATAAATTGTGAGATATTTTTTACCAAACAGAATAATATATCTGCATAATAATGACCCTGAATTACCAAATGAAAGTTAAAAGATTTTTGATTTTCCGCGTGTACAAAGATATGCATAATACATTTGAGAGTACAATCTAAATTTTTAAAAAAGTTTTCATTCTTAAAAATAAGGGTAAAACCCTCAGTCATCCAGAAAATTCAAATAGCTAAGATGATTCATTTCCTGAGTATTCTGGATAACTAAGTTTTTACTATACTTTTTGTTCTATAAAGAATCACAGACTAGACATTAGAGGACATCTGGTTAAAACTGTTATAGATGAGAAAACAGAGGCTGTTTAGTTGGTAATCTCATGCAAGGTTACTTAGCTAACAAGAAGCTGGGATGTGAACCTAGATCTTTGGCAGCCAAGTCCATTGTTCTTTACACATTTACATGTTTTACATGGTATACATGATTAGATAAGAAATGAAGTTGATCTACAGAACTATGTGTATGTATAACTTGGACAATCCATGATTCTGTGATTGCCAAACACCACTGGGGAAACACCAGAAAGCATTCTGATTGCTAATTTTGAGACTACAGATTCTTAGTGAAAAAGTATGCTAACTATAGCCAGGATTTAGGCTCAGGAATGTATGAAGTTTTCCTTTATGCCCTTTTTGGGTTCCTATCAGCCTCAACATTATTAATTATCCTCTCCTTCCCAGTTTTGGCTTACAGGACATAAGCCAGTCAGTTAGCTTTATTTTTACACTTCTAAATAATGGAGGTATTTTCTCCTTACGAGATGAATTCTCTTGCATTCAAGCATCTTTTCTTCCTTCTTTTCTTGTCTCTTTGCCAGTTCTAATTCATGTAATTTAGCCTGTTTTTCTATTTCTTTGGCATCTTTTTCTTCTTCTCTTTTCCTTTGTTCTTCCACCTCTTCTCGCTCCTTCATTCTAGAGTATAAAAAATAAGTGTAAAGAATGAGAAGAAAACTAGTTATTAAGTATTTATGGGGGGCAGGGGGGAGAGGCAGCTAGGTGGCACAGTGAATAGAGCATTGGCCCAGGAGTCAGAAGAATCTGAGTTCAAAGCCAGCCTCAGATACTTGATACTTACTAGCTGTGTGACCCCAGGCAAGTCACTTAACTCCATTGCCTAGCTGCTCCCACCCCCGCCAAAAAAAAAGTATTTATGGGGATTATAGTCTACTCTGAATCAAAATTAAGAGGAAAATGTATTCTTTTTCTTTGGAAAACAGCAAACTTTAAACAACTTCCCAATTTAAAACACTAGCTGAAAATACTTTTACAGGCAAAACGGGGGGGGGGGGGCGAGGGGGAAGGCCCTCAGAATTACCCCAAGTTGAAAGCGGCTTTCTCTCTATATTACTTGTAATGCCAAACCAAAAGGAGTCAACTGAGCTCCGATTCCGTCCAACTTCTTTGACAAATACCTGAGTGGCAAGATGGTTAACTGGTAGCATTTATAATGGACAAGTCATTTAAACTCCCTTCTCAATTTCATTTCTCTCCAACTCTCCTCTTTCTCTTTTTCACTACTAAATTCTTAGAAATAATGCTGTGTACATTCACTGTTTCCACTTTGCCATCAACTTATTTCTCAACTGCTTCCATGTGGCTTCCAATCCTGTTGCTCTCATGAAACAGCTCTCTAAAGCCCCTGATGATACAAGGATCTAAGACGTCTCCAAAGGCCTTGTGATGGAAAATGGTATCCACATCCAAAGAAAGAACGGTGGACTTTGAATGCAGATCGAAGCACACTATTTGCTATTTTTTTTTCTTCTGTTGAGTTTTGTTTGCTCTTTTTGGTGGTTCCTCCTATTGGTTCTAATTCTTACTTACAACATCACTAATGGGAAAATATGTTTAACAGGAATGTAAATGTATAGCCTATATCAGATTGTGCACCATCTTGGAGAGGGTGGTGGGAAGGGAGGGGGAGAAAAATTTTAAGCTCAAAAGCACATGGAAGTGATTGTTGAGAAATCAAAATAAATTAATTCTTTAAAACACTCCACATAAATAAATAAATAATAAAGTCACTGATGACCCCCTTATTGCTAAATCCAAAGTTGGTATTGTTAAATCCAATGCAGCATTTGGTGCTGTGGACAACACATAATTCTCAATATAATCTCCCTGAACTTTCATGACTGTACTCTTGGTTTTCATATGTCCTACTTCTCTGACCACTCTTGTTTCTTTTGCTGGCTGCTCACCTTCTTCTTGCCCTTTAAATGTGTGTGTATACTGAGATTTTACTCTGGGCCCTCTCCTTTCTCTTTCTCTCTCTCAAGTAACTCATCCCCTTCCAAGACTGACTAATTATATTTATTTTATAAATTGTTAAAATTAGAAATGCACATGTACCACAGACAAATTGCCAATAATATTTTAAAAACAATTCTGTGATATTCTAATATCCTGCAGACAGAATCAGAATGTCATAGTATATAATGAGTTATATTTTTAAAAAATTCAAATACTGTTAGGAAGTATGCTAGTAAGTATATTGGCGTCAATTAATTAAATCAGATTGCTTATCTCAATATCTAGAGAGATATCCTGAGTGAATGGATATTTTGACTGATAGGAGAAGAAATAGGTAATTTTGGAGGAGAGAACATTTTTGTGATATAGGGTAATCCTGGATAAGGGATCACAATACAAAGCTTAATGAAATTTTAAGAACAATGGGTGCTTCAAGGTAAGGAAGAAGTTAGAAGAGGCACAGTAAAGGAGGGCAAAGGCAGCCAAATATAAGCTTTGTCTATTTTAGAATTTTGTATAAGGTGGACCCTGTGTCTAAAAAAAAAAAATAGAAGAAACATTCTTCTTCAATCTCCTTCTTCCTATACCAACCAAAGCAGTTACAGGGACCCGAAACTCAAGCATTACTAGAAATTCAGCAATAAATTATGGATAAACCAAGCATGGTGGTACACAGCTTTAATCCCAGCTACTGGGAAGGTTGAGGTTGATGAATCTTTTTTGAGCAAGGGAGTTTTGAGTTACCTTGGGCTATGCTAATCAACAATGCACTGAGTTTCAAATCCATATACTGATACACCAAGAGTGGAAGGGCTACCAGGTTGCCTGAGGAGAAGCAAACCTGCCCAGATCCGAAATAGAGCAAATCAAAGCTTCCATGCCAACTGAGAGTGGAATTGGGTGGGCTATATACTTCCAGCCTGGGTGAGATGGGAAATCTTAAAAATAAAAATAAATTATGGATAAAAGACTCCTAGGCTACACAAACTTAACATCATATATGAACATTATAATCCTGTTTGCATTAGGTTTATTGAAAACAATTCATAACAAAGAACTGAAAAATATCAGGAGAGAAAGAGTGTATTAAAAACAGCCTGATCTCACATACTGTTTAAGATGATCATTTGCAAGTGCCATTCTGTCACTTCGACGTTTGTCTGCTTTTTCTTGTTCCTCTCGAAAAGCTTTTTCAATATTTCGCTTCAACTGTTCCTCCCACTTTGCATCTGTTTTTACTTTGCTCTTCTGGAACCGAATCTGAGCGTCTCGCTCTTTTAGAACTTTACTAAGAAGAAGTGCACTCTATACAAAAAAATGTGCAAAATGTCATGTAAATAATGCTCAAATATGTACAGGTGTTATAGTAAATACATATGAAAAGCAAGGAATCAGAGATAGTACATGGAAAGTCTTCACTCTATCTGTCTGGTAATATTGATAGATTTTTGCACTTTCAATGGCCTTTTTTCTTTCTTGTGCTCTATACAACGCTTCTTCCATGTCAATCCTTTGCCTTTCATTTTCTTCATCTTGTGCACGAAACTCCTTAGCTTTAAGTTTCTGTTTTCGCATCCCCTATAAGAAATAAAAACAGTATTTATTTTCCAGAATTTTAGAAAAAAAGAAAAGAATGAAAATAACACAACCCAATTTGGAATTTCCATTACAGATTTTTATTGTATTTTTATGTTAGTCACTAAAACACAAGGTTAGCTGAAGTAATTATTTTAGTAATTAAAATGTTCTTGATGTAAAAAATTTTAATGACTTGAGAATACAATAGCAATTTAATTAGTAGAGAAACAAAGTCAAATGCACATTATTAAAGTGGGCAAACATCATCATAGCTACGTTATCAATTAGTAGTCACAACCACAAAACTACACTGTCTTTTACTAAATGTTTAAGCCTTTTTCAACAAGTTTCTTAATTGTTACAGAGAACCAAGTACTTTTTTACCCCATTATTGTGTATCTGTATGACTTATTAGCATCTTTTTGGACCTGTTCATGAGTCCAGCTGGAAGATTCAACTTCTAAAAAAAGTGAGAACATTACATCCCAGCTTTAGTTCTAATTCTTATCCACCCTCCATTACTTCCCCAGTGACATTAGGGTGATAAATACTACAACACCCTGTGCTTCTGACACTTGCCCCCTCCCTTGGCCTCAAAAAGCCTAATCACTAATAACAGCACAAGAACCCACAGATCTTTCCCTTACCTGGAATTCTCTCGCCTCTCTACCCTCCTTGTCCACTAAGAATAATGGGCCACAACATCCCATATCTTAAATGTCATTAAAAAGCTATCGTACAGAAAACAGCATCTTTCAAAAAATGGAAAAACAGCTCTATCAAGAAGATATACAACTCAAGAAGTGTATCTGGTCAAATATGAACTACACAAGAAACAAAACTAAAAGCGTTTTCCTGATTTTATATGAAATAATGTAATTCTGGTCTACAGAAAAACATAATGGAGCTGAGTAGGGTCAAATGATAAAACTAGTCAGCAACTCTATGAATATTAATATTTCAACTGGGCCTACTGGGGCTCATAATTAAGTTCTGATCATTAATCTTTTTTTAAAATTTAGTTTTCAACATTTACTTCCATAAGATTTTGAGTATTAAATCTTCTCCCCCTCCCACTTCTTCAACTCTCCCCACTCCCAAGATGGTGTACAATCTGATATAGGCTTCACATATACATTCATGTTAAGCACATATTTTCTCATTAGTCATGATGTAAAGAACAATTAGAACTAATGGGAGGAACCAGGAGAATGAAGCAATAAAACAAAACAACAAAGGAAAAGGAAGGCAAACAGTATGCTTCCATCTGCATTTAGACTCAGTATTTCTTTCTCTGGGTGTGGATAGCAATTTCCATCATGAGTCTTTTGGAGTTGTCTTAGATTCTTTTGTTTGTTTTTTTTTTTTGTTTTTTGGTCTTTTCTGCTAGGCAATGGGGTTAAGTGACTTGCCCAGAGTGATGCTTATAGCTAGTAAGTGTCAAATGTCTGAGGCTGCATTTGAACTCAGGTCCTCCTGACTCCAGGGCTGGTGCTCTATCCACTGTGCCACCTAGCTGCCCCAGTTGTCTTAGATTCTTGCATTGCTGTGAAGAGTCAAGTCTATCAAAGTCAGTCACCCCATAATGTGGCTGTTACTATGTACAATGTTCTCCTGGTTCTGCTCATTTCACTCCGCATCAGTTCATGTAAGTCTTTCCAAGTTTTTTTGAAGTCTGCCTGCTCATCATTTCTTATAGTATAATAGTATTCCATTACATTCATATACCACATTTTGTTCAGCCATTCCCCAATTGATGGGCATCCCCTCAATTTCCAATTCTTTGCCACCATAAAAAGAGCTGCTATAAATATTTTTGTACCTTTTCCTGTTTTTATGATCTCTTTGGGACACAGACCTAGAAGTGGTATTGCTGAGTCAAAGGGTCATTAATCTTAATGCTCTTGTCTATATAAACCTGTGTGTGTGTGTGTGTGTGTGTGTGTGTAGGCTCACTGTTCTATTCAAGGCCTATCTATAACAAGGACATCAGTAATTAAATATACCTTAGATAAGACTCAAGATAAAAATTAATTGGACTTTTTAACACTTCAGCTCAATAGACTAAATGCAATGGCCTTTTCTCAGCCCTCCTTTTCCTTCACCTCTCTGTTGAATTTGACACTGGACCCTACCCTCTTTGAAACACTCAGTATACTGAACTCCAGGATGAACTGACTGCTCCCTGCACCTCTCTCACCGGCTCTCATTTGGCCTCCTTAATGCTAGCATTCCCTAAGATCCTGTTTTAGTTCTTATCTCATCTCCCTGCATTCATTCTCTCCCTGAATGATCACATTAATTCCCAAATCTTCAACTATCACCTCTATGTCCATAACTCCAAAATCTTTATCTTTAGTCTAGATCTCTTCCCTGACTTCCATAAGATGGACCTTCTCTTTGCCAAGGCCAACTTCTCTGTGTGCCTTTAATATCATCCCCTCCCTGCTAGAGAAAATCTCTAGCAGATTGCCCCCTCAATTATATCTCCACCCTCAAAAACCTCATTCTCTATCTACTGGTTCCTTCCCTACTGCCTTCAAAACAGCCCCCTCTCTCTCATCTTTAAAAAAAGTAGGTCCTACCTACGTTATTGTCCTATTTTTCTCTACCTTTTCACAGACAAAGTCTTACATAAAGCTGTCTACACTAATTGCCTCCACTTCCCTTACTAACTCCTGGACCCTTTGCAGTCTGGCTTCAGACCCCATCATTAAACTAAAACTGCTCTCCACATATCAGTGTTCTTTTAATCGCCACATCTGATGGTCTTTTCTCAGTCCTCATCTTACTGGACCTCTCTGCTGTATCTGATACTGGACTGATCACCCTTCCTCCTTGATGCTCCCTCCTCTCTGGGTTTTCATGACACTACTCTCTCCTGGTTCTCTTCATACTTATTTTACCATTCCTTCTCAGTCTTCTTTGCTGGTTCATCATCAATATCATGCCCCCTAACTCTGGATGCTCACTAAGACTGTCCTGGAGCTGTTTTCTTTTCTCTCAACGTTGCCATCATTTCCTATGAATTTAATTAACATCTCTATGTAGATGACTCCCAGATCTATATGTACAGCCCCATTCAGAAAACTTCACTACTCACTATTATCTGCCAAATAAAAACCTGAAATCCTTAGCCTATCTAGCATTCAAAGTCCTTCATGGTTTGTTTCTTCCTTTACAACCTTATCCCACACTAATCTTCTTCACAGGAGTCAAATCATACTATGTCTTATTCTTTTAGCATTCCCCATGGTTTCCCATTTTTGCTTACAAAGAATGCCTATATCCATTAACTTCTATCATTAATCAACTCCCTATTCAAATGCTATCTCCTCAACAACAACAGAGAGAAGTGTTCCAGTAATCTCCCCCTCCTGTGAACCACTATAGCACTTTGATCTCTGGTACTAAATCTTCACATTATAATGTACAGTTATTTGCATACATGGGATATGTCTTCTGCTAGACTATAAGATGTATAAGGGCAAAGGCTGTACCTTTGGGGGGGTTTTGGTATCCCTCAGAATAGGCTTGCACAACTTTCAGTCTGAGGAACATAAGTGGCCTCCTCAGAGCAACCAACTTGAATTGGCTTGTACTTAATAGGTACTCAATTCTTTAAATGAATAACATGAATTTCAATAAATTTGCATAATTTTTCTTGTAAACAACAGTAACTCTTAAATGACTATGCAGTCTATATAGTTTATTACTTACTGCATAAGTATTGGCCCAATGTTTCACCATTTCTTGGGAATTTAAATGCATTTCTTTCTTTGCTTTCTTTTCAGCACGAAGCTGAGCTGCTTTTCTACTCAACTTGTCAAGGCTATCTTGAATTCTCTTCCACTCATCATTTGGAAGTATAGTAACTTGACAAAGATCTACTCCACTTGGTAAAAGAGTACCACATGGAATTTGGCTGTCAGTCCAGGAATCAGTTTCCACTAATGAGTTTAAAAAAAAAAAGGTTAAAGGTAAAATATTTTCTCCAGATGCATTAAATTTTTTCTCCCAAAATTTTACATTTCTATGATGTACAGAAAGGCTTTAAGCTAATTTTTTTGCTGTTATCTTAGTTCTTCTTGTTGTTCATACATGTCTCATTCTTCATGACCCCATTTTTGGGAACTACTGGAATAGTTTGCTATTTCCTTTTCCAGCTCATTTTACAGATGAGGAATTGAAGCAAACAGGGTTAAGTGATTTGCCCAGGGTTACACAGTGTCTAAGGCTGGATTTGAACTCCTTAGGATCAATCTTCCTGATTCCAGCTTCAGTACTCTAACCACTTCACCACCTCGATGCCCCTTAGTTCTCATTATCAGTATCACATTTAGATACTTTTTAAAGAAGTTCATGGAGTTTAAGAAAAATTATTTATTACAGTCAGGAAGTTTGGTATATGACATAGCTCTGACTCCTCTTCTGACATAAATTAGAGCTGAGCAGTCTCAGTTATGGGTAGTGAGCTGGCAACTCTCAGAAGGAAAGGAACATGACTAACAAGAACATAGGAAAGGGAAATGAATTACTCGGGTCATTTCAACATTAAGCATCTACTATCAGCAAGGTATTTACCAGAGGAGAGAAGTATACAGAGCACAGCTACTCCCATTCATCAAGATACTCTGCCTAGACTCATTCCCCAATTGTTAGCAATGTCTAACCCCTCTTTACTCTCCCAGTACCACTAATATGGAATCATGAACTGCCTAAAAAAAATAAACCAAGCCCAGACCCCCAAATACATATCTTATCCCTATCTACCTCAACCCTAACTTTCCAATGTCCTACTTCAGAGCTGCCTCTCCCTTCCTTTGTACACTCTGTAATCCTTGTAATCAACAAACTTTCCTTCCTCTTAGATCTGCTAAAGTCTCTCTAACATTCTTTACATCTTTTGGCATTCAGAGAAACCTGGCTTTCCTCAGATGACAGTGCATCCCTGGTCATCTTTTCTAGTACTAGTTATACCTTCTCCCCACACTCCCCAATTCATTAGTCCCAGGAGAGAAATCATATTACTCCTTATTGCCATTTTCAGACTTTCCCATTATCATCATCACTCAAGCAACCTCTCCTCCTTTGAAGTTCACTCTAAACAAATTTATCACCCAATCCAGTGCCCTAGCTACTAGTTCTTTCCCTTCTGAGATTACCTTCTATCTACTCTGAACATATCTTATACGTTCCTAATTTTTAAATGTTGTCTCCCTCATTAGATTGTAAGTTCCTTTAGAGTGTGGACTGGTTTTTGGCCTTCTTTGTATCCCTAATATAGTGCCTGGCATACAGTGAGCACTTAATAAATGCTTGTTGACTGATTAGCTGAACTGAATGAAGTATTGTTTTCCACTGCCATTGCAGATGGTCTACACGGTTCAAATGCAAACTGGCCTTCACTACTGGGAAACTAAAAACTTGGACCTCACTGCCGGTGAACAAAATTAGCAACTGATGATGAAGCACCATAAATAAAGTGACAATTGGTATATTTCCAAATAGAGAGAACTGAGAAGACCCATGAAGGTTAGTGATTTGACCATGGTCACACAGTAACAGAGGCAGAATTTGAACCCTAGTCCACTGTTATTTCTCCCTCAACTATCACTTAAAAATATGGTTTCACAGATAGTAATTAGGCAGAAACCAAAGGAATCAAACTTCACAAGGTAATTTTGATTCCAACAAAGGATTATTATAGTATACTTAGACAACAATCCAAACAACTATTTCAAGTAAATATCTTATATTTCAGTGGCACTTTTTGCTTTTTTGAAATACTGTCATATATTACCTCAAAGAAACAAGGAGTAATATATCCTAAAAATATTTTTATATAAAAATTATGAACTGCTAAATAGTTTTTTTGGTTGTACATTCAGTTTAACATAATAATAACAAAACAATGCATATCTGTGTTCCATTCAAAACCGACTTTTGCCCTCTTTAGTATATATTTTCTGTTTAACTTTTTCACTGATACTATTTTCTTTCTTTTCTCTTTTTGCCTTACTCTCATTACCCACCTTTCCTTTGTAACCAGTAAGTGTTGTCAAGCAGATCAAAACAACACACTGGCTATGTCTGAAACAACTGCCTTCTGAATTTTGGCTATGACATATTTGTCGTGGGCTTTCCGGGAGGAGGAATGGGTGTGAGGATGGGTCCATAAAGGAGCCAGAGTTGACTTATGGCATCCACTTTAGGGAGAGCCGGGAAAACCCCTGGAATTTACTTACCTCAGAAGAAGCACTTGCCTTCTCAGTTCTAGAAATAAGGGATTCTAAGAAGTGGATGTGAGGAAGAAGTCTATTTTAGGCATGGGGGGCAATGCCAAGGCATGGAACTAGGAGATGGAATACTATGTTCAGATAACAACAAATAGGCCAATTTGACTGGACCATACACTGTGGGAAAGGCAGTAATTAGTATTAAGTCTGGAAAGGTATAAAGAAACCAAATAGTGAACGGTTTTATCAGTTTGTATTTCATCCTTGAGGAAATCAGGTGGGGGAGCAATGCGTAATAAGTCTGCAAAGGTAGGCAACAACCAAATTGTGAACGGCTTTAAATGTCAGTGGTTTTGTATTTCATCCTAGAGGCAACTGGGCACTTCTTGAGCAAGGGAGTGAGTGACATGGTCATTCCTTTACTTTAGATTGATTGCAGGATTTTAGAATTAACAGGATTTCATTTTATCCTCACTACAACTATGAGGGAGATGCTATTATTATTCCCCTTTTATAGATTAGGAAAGCTCAGAGTTTCAGTGATTTACCTATGGTCATGCAACTAAAAAATATTTGAGGCTGAGTTTGAACTCAGGTCTTCCTACCTCCAGTCCCAGTGCCTTCCCTAGCCACTCTATCCTCCTCAGTGGAAGACAGGATATGTGAGGGAGGTCAGAGCCCAACTGCAGAGAGCTTTATATTTGTCCAGTGAGGGGAATCACTGAAGATATTTGAAAGGCCAGTGGTGATGTTTTCTTAGGAGGGCTTAAGTTTATCAGGCAGAGGTGTGTCAGATATGTGGAAGCAGAAATAAATGAGAAGCAAGGAGGCCTTTTGGGCAAGAAGAGAACACACAAGCTATTCTTAAAATCAGGACTTTCGACAAGGCTGGAGGGGAGTGGTGGCCTCAAATGTCACACCTCCAGATCAGACTCTGCAAGCAGGTCATCTAGAGTATAATGGAACTCAACTTCCTCTGCCATCCATCATACCTGGAGAAGCAATTCTCTGCTTGGGACCAGAAGATATGGGCAGTTTTCCTATTTACAAATGCAGCTGTAAAAGAAATCAACTCAACCCCCATCTTTTTGAGACATTCAACAGAAATAGAACACTTGGGAGGTGTTTGACATTGACGTCCACAATTAATGATCCATCTGAAGAGACAGCACAGACTCTTAGAGCTGGAAATGACCTCAATGACAATCTAAGCCCTGCCTGAACTAAAGAAGAATTTTTCGCTGAGCCTTTCTGGCAAGTGCTTCCTCACTCTGTGCTTGAAGATCACTAGTGAGGGGAGCCGAGCACCTTCTCAGGCAGCCCAGCCCTCATTGCTAGGATGGCTTCCCTTATATGCACCTAAAGGTTGTGCTTTGCACACATGTGCGCACACGTGCATACACACACACACACACACACACACACACACACACACACACCACACACACTCTCTCTCTCTCTCTCTCTCTAGATCCTGCCCTGCAGAGCCAAGCAGAACAAATTAATCTGATTGTTCATTACAGCCATTCAAATCACTGAAGACAGTTATCACATCCACCCCAAGTCTTCTTTTGTCCAAGTTTTTAACATCTTGAGTTCTTTGAATTTACCTTCATAAGATGTGATCTCAAGACTTGTGACACCACCCTAGCTGCTTAGCAGTTTAATAGTGTCCTTCCTAAGAGATTATCCATCAACCTGAGTGCAGAGCTCTGAATGTTGTGGGCAGACTAGAACCCTAGCCAAGGGCACCATGCCTCTCTTCACATGCCCTAAGTTTGAAATAACTTTCTTGATTACCATAGATTGCACACTGTTAACCCCACATTAAGTTTGCAATCTACTGAAATGCCCAAATATTTTCCAGACAAGCTGCTGCTTAGTCATGTTTCCTTCATCCATTTGTGTGATTTTTGAACCCAACTTTAAAACTTTACAGATAACCTTATTGAATTATATCTTAGAGATTTGCTCCAATAGAAAAAAATATGAGGGCCTTGAAGCAGCTCGGTGGCGCAGTGGATAGAGCACCAGCCCTGAAGTGAGGAGACCTGAGTTCAAATATGACCTCAGACCAAACACTTCACACTCACTAGATGTGTGACCTTGGGCAAGTCACTTAACCCCAACTGCCTAAAAAAAAAAAAAAGATCTTTTTGGCAACTGAGACCTTTGTGTCAAAGCCTAAACTCCAAGCCGGGTCTGCTACCTGCCGCGTCCAAGGCTGCTTTCACCAGCTCCTGCAGCCTGTGGCTTACACCTTCGTGACTATGTGGCTACGCAAATGAGGTTCCTGCATGAGCCCCATTTCTCTTTTTCTCTTTCTTTCTCCTTTCTTCTCTTTCTCTGTCTCTCTCCCTCTCTTTATCTCTTTCCCTCCCTCTCTCTTCTTCTTCTTCTCCTTCTCTCCACCCTCCCCCTGCCTCCCGGGTTTGCTGGAGCCCGACCTCGCCGCGGGTGTAGAAAGCCCGCACCCGGCCTCCCGGGGTGGTCCGGGAGGAGGCCATCCCCTCCCTGCTCACCTGGGGCTTCTCGCGGTTGTCCGGTCCTCCGACCGAACCGCACCTGAGAGTCGGCGAGGGCGCCCATGGTGGCCATGGCCGCCCCGCGGCTCCGAAGGGCCGGAGCCTGGTGCCCAATCGAGCCGAGAGCGCTCCCGCCCGCCGCTCGCCGCCTCAGCCTTCTAGTGTTTTCCTCCGACGCTTCGCGTTCCTTAGCAACGCTCCCGGAAGTGATCGGAAACCGTCGGCGGGAGGCTAAGAACCGATTCCGGGGGGCGCACGGGGGCGGGGCTGGGGCGGAGTCGCGTCCGGGAGGGGACGGCTTGGCCTTCACTGGGGGCGGGCGGAGCAGAGGCCGCGGCTGGGCGGGGAGCAAAGGGCGATGTCAGTGAGTGCGGGAACGGGGTCCGGCCGGTGCCTGGGGCGCCAGCGGAGGCGGGAGGGTGGGCCGTGCGCCGGGCTGGGACTCCTCTCCCAAGGCCGGGGGGATGGGGAACCCCGCGAAGGCTGCCGCAGCCTCGGGGAGGAGAGCCGGCGTAACCCGCTCGGTAGAGAGTCGGAGGGGGCGGGGGGCGGGGGCGGTGAGGGGGGGCGCCCTGAGGGGAGCCTGGAAGGCCATTTACCCGATCCCACCCCCACCCCCCAAGAGCTTACCCAAAGCGTCTCGAATCTTTTGGCTTCCAAATCGCCGGGGCTCACCTGGAGGAGAGGAGACCTTTCCCAGTTGTCACCATGAATAAGGACTTTGCATCCCTAGGACTCGGTTTCCTCATCTGTAAAACAAGGAGAGATTGACCTAAGTGGCGTCCAACCCCTCCCTTCCAGGTCTAGATTTGTGGTCCTACGGGCTCCCCGTAGAGGTAAAGACTGGGTTCCGCCTCTGCTCTCCCCACCCCCACTCTCATCCTATGGACTCTTGGCCGGACCTTGACCTGGGGCAAGGTGGCCTGGGGCCTGTTGACCACTTGCGGCTCTCAGTGCCCCGGGCGACTATTGGAAATACTGGTCTAGAGCTATGCGGTTAAGCCGCCCTGCGCTGATAAATCGCCGATTCGGCCAAAAAAAGTTTTTATTTATTTTAATAAAGCTACTAAGCTAGTAGTCGGGAGATCTGGGCTTTGCCACTCCCAGCTAGGTTTGGACGAGTGATTTCATCTTTCCAAGTCTATTTCTTCATATGTAAAATGAGGTGGTTGGTCTAAATTCTTAACCTTATTTATGTCTTGGACCCCTTCTGAGAATAATATTTTTTAAAAGTATAAAATAAAATGTATAGGATTATGAAGGGCTTAGCATAATAAATGCATTGTACAAGGAAACCATTTATATTGAAATGAAGCTGTCAAAACATTTTGAAAAACAAGCTCTCTGAGCCCAATTTAAAACTCCTGGACTAGATGATCTCTAAAATCCTATTCATAGGCTCATAATTAGGGCTAGAAGGAAACCTTAGAAGACATCTAATATGGTCCCTCATTTTACATGTTGAGTGAAGTATCCCAGAGAGGTTATTCTAGCAGGGTCACAAAAGTAGCAGCAAAAGTAGGGCTGAGATTTAGACCAGGATCTGTTCGTTATAGTCAGCAGCCTTTGCACTGTGCTAGACTGCCTCCTATCTGCTTTAAGTAAAATTCAAGCTTTGTCCTGGAATGTTTATATAATAAATAAGTTGTAAAGAAATAAGTGGTTCAGCAGGGACATTATCTGGCAATTCCAGATTATTCATAATTTAGAAACTATTTTAGGGACTACACAGGCATCCTGGAATTAAAATTTGCTGGATAAGACTTATAAGAACTAAGCCTTAATGGGACAGCTAGGTGGCGCAGTGGATAGAGCACTAGCCTTGGATTCAGGAGGATCTGAGTTCAAATGTGACCTCAGACACATAACACTTACTAGCTGTGTGACCCTGGGCAAGTCACTTAACCCCATTGCCTAGCCAAAAAAACCCAAAAAACTAAGCCTTAAGTACCTATCACAGGTAAAAATCCCTAACTCACATTGATATACAGATTGTTTCATTAGCAAAAATGCACTTTAAATCCTTCACTGTGACCATTTAAGAAGTGAGGAATAGGATTTACACAGATTATATAATTCATTTCCTTTCAAAATCTGCTTTTCTCCTATTTCTTTGTTTTTCATAGGATCATAGAGCTGGAAAGGAACTGGAGGCCAAATCCCTCATTTTATATGTAAGAGAACTCAGAGGCTTGGGAAGGTTAAGTGACTTGCCCGAGGTCACACAGCTAGTTAAACAGCAGAGGCAGTTTTCAGTTTTCTTTTGTTTTGATCCATTTCTTGATCCATCTTTTTTAAAATTGTTTTTTATTTTTAGGTAATTTGGGTTAAGTGACTTGCCCAGGGTAACACAGCTAGTAAGTGTCAAGTGTTTGGTCCAAGGCTGGATTTGAACTCAGGTCCTTCTGACTTCTATTCACTATCCAGTACTCTATCCACTCTGCCACCTAGCTGCCCCCTTCTTGATCCATCTTTGATCCATTTTTTGATTAATGTTAAAATTTATTTACTAACATTGAAAAATACTTAAAGGAACTTTATAGCTAATGACATTGTTTTGCAACTGTACAACTTAGGCCAGGCCCATTGTTCCAAGCTTTAAAAGATTTAGTTTTAAAGAACTGTATTTTGGAAAATTAAGAATTGTTTTTAATAAAAGCTGATGTTATGATCCACAGCTGTACCATATTACTTCAGGCTTACAACCATCAGTTGTACTTCCCTATGACATAGGTAAGTAGGGGGGAACGTTAGTGAAAAATAGTTGAAGAGAGAAATTATTTTTGTACGGACAGTGTTTGCCAGATGACAAAATTGTAATCATACCATACTAGTAATTTTGGATATGTGTGTTTCATTTTAATATGTTATGGAAAACTTGTAGGTAATTTTAATAGTAAGTAGTTAAAAATTATTTACCATCAGGCTGACTGTAGGGTGATGGATTTTTTCAGCTACAGCTCATGAAGACCTTCTATTAAGGCATAGAAGGGTTTCAGTTTGCATAGCATGGGGGTAGGAGAAGGAAGGCAGAAAATGGTACTCGCACCTACAAAGTCTTAGTTTCACTGAAGTATTGAAAAAGTATTTATAGATACTTACATGGGTAGTAGAATATATTAGTAACTTTTTACATGACTTTACAAATGAGTCTTAATAAATAAAATATTGTTCCCTTGGAGAAATTAATTTGGGTAGGTATCTCTTCATTAGCTGTTTCTCTTTACATTTATTACAATAATAATTGGGTGCTAGAGATAGCATGAAAAATGGACGGGATTCAAAGAAATGAAACAAGAGCAACAGTAGGCTACATTATACTTTATTGATAGGGAGTAGAATATAACATATTAGATTGTCATTCAAATAAGGCTGATCCAATTCATTTCTAGCTCAGTCAGCTAGCATTTATTAAGTGCCTACTATGTGCCAGGAATTGATACAAAGAAAGGCAAAAAAGCCAGTCCCTGTTCTCAAGGAGCTTACAGTAATAGGGGAGGCAATATGCCAACAATTAAAAGGCAAGCATTTTTGAAGCATTTAGTATGTGCTAGGCACTGTGCTAAGTAGTTTTCAAATATTCTCTCATTTGAACCTTGTAAGATAGGTGCTGTTATGATCCTTATTTTACAGTTGAAGAAACTCAGACAAAGAGCAAAGGTGAAGTGACTTTCCCAGGGTCGAACATTCAGATACTTACTAGTTTGAGGCTGGATTTGTACTCAGGCCTAGTACTTATCCACTACACCACCTAGCTATGTACAAACAAGCTGTATTTAGGATAAATTGGGTAGAGTTGGAGGGGACTAGGAGGTAATCTCAAAAGGCAGACAGTAAGATTAAAGAGGATAGGAAAGCTGCTTGTAAAAGGTGAGACTTTAACTGAGCCTTGAAGGAAGCCAGGGTAAAGAGATAAGGAAGAAGACCACTCCTGGCATGGAGGAAAAACACTTGGAGTAAGGAGATGGAGTATTGTGTTCAAGTAATAGCAAGGAGGCCAGTGTAATTGGATCACAGAGTACATGGAAAAGAGTAAGATCTATGAAGACTGGAAAGTTAGGGAGGAGTTCTGAAAGGCTTTGAAATTGCAAGCCAAAAGACATAAATATAAATTTGAAGTCCTTTTTTTCAATCCTCATTGTTTTTGACCTTTCTGCAGCTTTTGACGCTATCATGACACTATCATCCTCCTCTTGATACTCTCTTCTTTCTAGATGTATCATACTACTCTTTACTGGTTCTCCTCTTACCTATATGAGGGCATCTTCTCAGTCTTTTTTGCTGGATTTTTGATTAGGACATACTCACTAATCATGGATATCCCTCAAGGCCCTGTTCCTTGCCCTCTTGTCCTTCTGTGCTATTTTATTTGGTAATCTCATCAGCTTTTGTGGATTCAATTATCATTCTCAAATCTACCTATCCAGCCTTAATCTCTCTTCTTCCTCCAGTCTACAACTTCGTAGTAGACATCTTGAACTGCATGTGTTGTAGACATATTAAACTCAACATGTCCAAAACTTGTTATCTTTCCCCACAAGCTCTCCTACCTTCCAAATTTCTTTATTATTATTGAAAGCACCACCATCCTCCCAGTCCCCCAGTCTCTCAATTTAGATGTCATCCTTGATTCTTTACTACCTCTCACTCCCGAGGTATTCAGTTCTCACTCCACCTATATCCAGTCTGTTGCTTAGGCCTGTCGGTTTTACCTTTACGACATCCCTCCGATATACTCTCTTCTCTTCTCTGATACTGCCACCACCCTGGTAGAAGCCCTCATATCTTCACACCTACACTATTGCAATAGCCTGCTGATGAGTCTGCCTCAAGTCTGTCTCAACTCCAGTCCATCATGCAACTTCCAGAGTGATTTGCCAAAAGTACAACCCTCACTGCCCAATAAATGCAAGTGGTTCCCTATTACTTCCAGTATCAAATATAAAATCCTCTGTTTGGCATTTAAAGCCCTTCATAATCTAGAATGCTCCTCCTTTCTAGTCTTCTTATACTTCATGCCCCTTTCTCTACTTTTCCAGCTTTATACCTTATGCCTCTACCCAGTATGTACTCTTCCATCCATTGGCACTGGCCTCTTTGCTGCTTCTCAAACCAGATACCACATCTCTTGACTGGGCATTTTCACTGGCTGTGAAAATTCTGTGCCTGGAATGTTCTACCTTCTCATCTCCAACTCCTGGCGTCTTTGTCTTTCTTCAAATCTAAAATTTCACCTTCTACAGGAAGCCTTTCCCAAATCATTTTAAATTATAGTGCCTTCCCTCTTATTTACTATTTATCATGTTTCCTATTTATTGTAGCTTGCTTTTACATATTTGTTTATATGTTATCACCCCTGTTAGATTGTGAAGTCTTTTAGAGCAGAGACTGTCTTATATTTCTTTGTGTCATCAGCACTTAGCACAGCGTCTGGTGCACAGTAGACACTTAATAAGTGCATATTGACTAAATGATTCACTGATCCTAGAGATAATGGAAGTGGGGAGAAGGGGAAGAAGAAAATAAGCATTTTTATAGTGCCTGTTATTTGGCAGATACTATGCTAAGCATAATTCATTTTATCATCACTACCCTGTGAGGTAGGTGCTATTATTATCCCTATTTTACAGTTGAGAAAACTGAGGTAAAGTGATCTAAGTATCTGAGGCCAGATTTGAACTCAAGTCTTCCTGACTCCAGGTCCAGGGCTGCGTATTCTATGTCACCTTGATGCTACCTGAGTTTATTGAATGGGAAGGAGGAATGTGATGTTATGGTCAGACTTGCATTTTAGGAAGAAAAATTTGGCAGTTCTTGAGGATGAATTCAAATGGGAAAAGTTGAGGCAGGGAGACAAACCAGCTGGCTATTGGACCTGCACCAGAACGGTAGCAATATCAGAAGAGAGAAGGGGGAATATGTGAGAGATACCATGAAGGCATTTTTGATAGGCCTTGGCAATAAATTGCATGGGTGGTAGGGGTAGAATGAGGAGTATAGGGTGACACCTAGATTGTGATCCTGAGTGGTTGGAAGGATGGTAGTACCATCAATAAAATTAGAGGATGTAGGAAGAGGGGAGAGTTTAGAGGGAAAGATTATCAGTTCAGTTTTAGGCATGTTGAATTTAATATTCCTACTGGACATCTAATTCAAGTTGTCTAAAAGGTATGACCAGAGGTCAACAGAGAAGTTAGAGCTGAGTGAGTAGATCATCAGCATAGAGATGATAATTTAATCTGTGGGAGTTGATGAGATCACCAAGTGAAATAATATAAAAGAAGAGGGCCCAGAATAGAAACCTGTAGGACACCCATGTTTAGTGGGGTTGACCTGGATGAAAATCCAGGAAAGAAAGGTCAGGTAGGTAAGAGAAGAACCAGGATAAGGTAGTAGCACAAGGCATCCTGGACTTTCTAGATTGACTTGTCAGTCATTCCTGGTGTTGGAGATCCAAGGGAGACCAAGCTCCCCGTAAGGATTTAGGTGACTCTATGAAGTATAGAAGGCCCTACTCAGTGTGAAAACTATAGCATCTTCCTATCCACCATGACACATCATAGGCCCATGCTAGAGTAACTTAAGTTACTAGTGAGTGATGTAAAACTGAACCAGCTTCCTTTATGACCAGACTTATATAATCCTTCCCATAGCTACTGGATATAGGTTTCACCTGAACTAAACAGATATGTATATAAATAAGTAACCCATCAGATTCGTTTTTGCGAATAAAAGAAGAAAGCCCTAGACCTTCTCTGAGTTGGTAGAGAAGTGAGATGAATCCAGAGTTGTCTTTTGACTATTAAAACTCTGAATATTTGTAGAACAGTTCAAAATTCTGTCATTAAATGGTCTTATCCCATGATTCTCAGCTGGACATTAAAATCTAAAAGAAAATGGATCTGAAAATCTCCACATTACTGTTTTGACATCTATGAGTGCTTATTTTTTCAGTTATGTTTATTTTTTCCCATACTAATATGTGTTTTCTTAGTGGAAGAGGAAAGAGGAGGAGTGGGATGTTATGTGACACATATTAAGTTATTAAGGTATTGGTTTTCAATTTTAGGTGTTATTAAGAAGCCTCACTTCCATTGCTTCCGAGCAAGGACTGTTCCTCATGAAATCGTATTGAAACATATTGACAAATAACCTGCATGGTATTTAAAATGAGATGATTCTGGCCATTGAACTCCGGCTCTAAGGTGAAATAAAGCAAAAACATTGTTCCCTTGGAGAAATTAATTTAGGTAGGTATCTCTTCGTTAGCTGTTTATCTTTACATTTATTACAATAATAATTGGGTGCTAGAGACAGCATGAAAAATGGACAGGAATCAAAGAAATGAAACAAAGAAGAGCAACAGAAAAATGTATTAGATGGATACAAAGTAGACTAGTGGAATTATGTTAACTAGAATAGCAGTTCAGCCTACTTGGGGGGATTGTTAGCTGCAGAAGTTTAGTGACCCCTTCTCTACTGTGGCTAAAGTAAATCTAAATCACAGGTAGTCTTCACCTTAGGAAGGGTATGTTTCAAAAGTTCATTTTTAAGCCTATGATTTGGAATTCAGACTACATTTTTCTATAGAAACAGTAATTATTAACTGCATAAAAGAAGACATGTTTCTGATCTCCATGTGTTCTGAACCCCGATTAGGGAATGGTCAATTGCTTCTGTGAGGTTGGGGCATATCCAGATTTGAACTCCTCCACCATTTGTTCATCTGTAGAAGTCATTCCTAAGTCAAGGAACTGCCCATTTTTAAATGTCAAATATTTCAACTCTTTTATTGGTGTTTTCTTTTTTATATTGGTTGTGTTCTCCTTTTTCTTTTTAGGTACTTTTTGCTAAAAATCTCTTAACAGTTAAAAGATCTTAACAAAGTTAAGATAGGTCTCATATAGGAATGTTTTTGGTTACTTTGTGCTTTGGAGCTTATTAACATTTTCAGGTAAGTGTTAAACTTTACCCAAAAACTATTCTTTCCTTTTATCTCAAGTTGTTTTTATGCTTTTATATCCCTGTCTATGAAAACCTTTTCCTTTTTGGTACCTTTTTATTTATATCTATAAGTAGTCTCTAGTTATTGCTTTTACTGTCTTTATTATTATATTCTGTCTAAATTCTCATACATTTGCCTTCCATTTTGCTACTCATTACCATCTGTTGTCTTTTCCTTTGGTTTCTTATTAGTCTCCTTATAGCCCCACTGCTAATCCCCATCTGTTCTTTCAGGCATCTTCATTCTCTTCAGTAGACTTCAAAATGGAATCATGAATTCTCTAATAGCTGGAGTGGAACAAAATAAAGCTATAAATAATCTTTATATCATAATCCATTTCCTCCCAGAGTGATAGACCACTCATGTACCATTTTTATTTGGCATATTAGTGCCAGATTATATATTGCATATCTCTGATAAAATGGTTACCAGAAATTATTTAGGATCAAGTGTCTTGTTTTTTCTTTGCTATTTAGCCTATGGCAGTACCACAATATTAATATTCTAGTAAACATTGGAATTTAAAATTAATTATTAAGCTAAATATCTTTAATAAATTTTTTAAAAATACCTATTAGAATAAGAATTTAAAATTACAAAAATTTGTACAATATAATACTTTGGTCAGAATTTGATGATGGTAAACAGAAACAGGAATATTTTAAAACATTTTTTAAACAAAGTAGCCCAATGATTAATATTGGGTGTTTTAGTAGGCGTTGTTAACCCACATTTTCTTTCTGTTTTGCTCCTTTGAGTTTTCAATTTAACTGTCTCATAATAACTCATGTTAGAATAGAATACTAAGTATATTTTCATTTCGATCTTTAAAGATGCCTTTTATACCTGCCCTTCAGACTGTTAGCTTATAAAATCATACCAATAGGAATTTGGTAATATTATGGATATCATTTTAGATGGTAAAGTAGTCAGGTGTACTTTGGACTTAGGTAGATAGATACTTATATGTAGTTGCACTTCAGTTAATTTTAGTGCTCTTAACACCAGTATAAATCATAACTCCTCTATGCCTTCTTATCTTGTACATTTCTCTTTCATATCTTTGCTTAAATCCTCCATGGGGGGAGTTGGGGAGAGGGGAGAGTCCACCCAATATCCTGAAGAGTTTTCATTCTTTTACTATCTCAAAAAGTACCATGGAACATTTTGCTGTCCATTTGTTTCTCATTCTCAGTACATGATCCAGCTTACACATATTTTTAATGATATCTTCTCTACAAAAATTGTAGATAATTTCAAGGTTGTTTCAAGGTATATACTTTGTTCTTTTTCTTTTTTGGGGGGCGGGCCCTAGGCAATGGGATTAAGTGACTTGCCCAGAGTCACACAGCTAGTAAGTGTCAAGTGTCTGAGGTCAGATTTAAACTCAGGTCCTCCTGACTTCAGGGCTGGCCTTCTATCCACTGTGCCATCTAGCTGCCCCCTTATACTTTGTTTATACCTTGAAACAACCTTGAAGTTATCTACAATTTTGATTAGTAGGACATTGTGTTGTTATTTTGTTTGCATCCATTGAATGCTATTGGTGTTTAAAAATTGGAGTTTTGTAGCAACAGGATCATCAGAGGTGCTATAGTTTGCCAAATGTGATTCTATCTGATATCCTTTACTTAATTTTGAGCCTAGCTAATTGTTCTTATGCAACACTTTTCCATATATAGTTGGACTAACTGAATGAGCTTCCTGTCTAGTTGTCTATCGTACTTTGGACAATATGTGTTTTTCATCTATCTTGTTTTTTCCATTTTAGATAGAAAATCTTTTAAAATTTAAAATCCTTTAAAAATTATTAACAGTTTTGCTGAGGAGCCTCTGTAGTGTGCTGTGATTTGAAGCAATTAATACAATGTATTCTATGAATTGAAGCATTTGGAAAACCTCACCATTAAAAGGGAATCACTTCTGTTTAGACTCTTTACAAGATATCCAATGCCCTGGCAAACATCATAGGTGATCATATATCTCCCTGGTATATGCCTCATACAATGTCAGTATTCAGAAGATCAAAGGTTAGTCTCCATAGGCACATTTGTTCTTAAATTTTATATAGCCTTTACATATTTTCTGTTTTGCCTCTACTTCCTTAAATCTTACATAATCTTAACATAGTTTCTCTTTTACTTTTGCTTATACATTCACTCATGCCTAGAATAGACTCTCCCCACCCCCATATGGATCTCTCTGAGTCCATACCTTTTTTTCTAGCTCCTCCATGAAACTTTCCCTGACACCTTTTCCCCTCCCCTCCATTCCAAGTAAAATCCTCATCAAAATTCTTGTGGCATTTCGCTTGGACCTAGAATTGGCATTTATCTCACTTTTTTTCACATCACAGGTTTTTTTTTTTATGAACATGTTTGCCCTTGTATTAGACTGTTACATCCCTGAAAGTAAGGTTTTTGTTGTATCCTCAGGGCCTACCACAGTGTCTACTGAATCTTGTTTGAGGCAGGCCTATAAAGTTCTATTTGGTTTTGCCTAGTCAAATGCCTTTATTATTTATTTTTTTTAAGGCAGTTGGGGTTAAGTGACTTGCCCAGAGTCACACAGCTAGTAAGTCAAATGCATTTTTAAATCAACAGTAGATATAGCGGGCTCTGTACATCTGTCAGTGTGGGACTATGAAGATACCATCTGCTTTAGAAAATTGCCTACAAAAGCCTGCCTGGTCCCTTCTCCTGCTTTCATCAAGAATATTCTTCTGCATAAACCATAAAGATTTTATAGAGATGAGAAATTAAACATATTATGAGTTGGCAGTTGCTGATGACTTTGCAATTACCCTTTTTTTTTGGTAAAAGAACCAGCCACAATCTTTTCCATTCTTTTGAAAGCTTCCCTTCTTAAAGATATATCCAAAATTGATTCTTGAATGCCTTAAAAATCATGTTGCCTCCATGGATTCATTTACCAAATATTTACTAAGAACTTATGTGCCGGGTACTGTGCTAGACATTGGGGATTAAGAAACAAAACAATTTTTGCCCTTTAGGAGCTTACGATCTATGGATGGTTGCATTGGGATGATACTATGAATATAGAAAATCAAATGCTAAACATAAAAATATTTTGAGGGGTGAGCAGGGGGAAGGATCTAGCAATTAAGGAAAACAAGATAGACTTCCTGTAAAAGATTGTTCTTGAGGTGAGACTGGAAGAAACAAGGAATTGTAAGAAGCAAATGTGAGGAGGGAGTGTGTGCTAGGCCCAGAATATACTTGTACAAAGTTAGAGAGACAAGAGATGTGCAGGGAATGACAAGGCCATTTAGCTAAAATGTAGAATTCTTGAAGGATTAAGCAAAGGAAACTGAGGGGGAGTGTCTAAGCAGATAGGAGAACCAAGAGGAGCCAAGCCATGAAAATCCAGAGTGGAGAGTATACCTAGGATGAAGGGGCTGTCAGCAATGCCAAATACCACATAATAGGTCAAGGAGGATAAAAACTGTGAAGTAATACGTGGCCATGTAAATTGTCATTTACTACATCATTGGTAACTCATTCCATAAGCATTTATTACATACCTACTGTGTGCTAGGCACTGTGCTAAGTACTTGGCCTCAAGGAGCTTACAATCCAACGGGGGAAGATAACAACCAAAAGGAAGCTGAAAAGTGGGATGGAGGACAGAAAAGGTACTTGGTGCTAGGTGTCGTAATGGAGAGAAGACTGTAGTGGGTCCCTTTCTTAAATGGAGGTTTCTGGTCCAGCTCTTCAGCTGGAGGGGCTGACACTTCTGATGAGATGTCAGTTTGTTGTAGTTTGGTTTTTTCAGTCGTGTCTGACTCTTCGTGACCCCATTTAGGATTTTCTTGACAGATACTGAAATGGTTTGACATTTCCTTCTCCAGCTCATTTTAAAGATAAGGAAACTGAGGCAAACAGTGTTAAGTGACTTGCCCAGTGTCACACAGCTAGGAAGTGTCCGAGCCCAGATTTGAACTCAGGAAGATGAGCCTTCCTGACTGCAGGCCCAAAACTATCCACTGTACCACCAAGCTACAGAGATGTCAGTATCAAATCTGATTTAATCTTGTAGGATAAGGAGATTTCCCATTAGAGAGTTTCATTTGGATGATGTGAGGTTGGGAGCCAGATTACTAGGGGTTGAAAAAGTGAGTGAGAGAAGAGGAAGTAAAGGCAGTGAATGTAAGCAGCCTTTTCTAGGAGTTTTATTGTGAAAGAAGGGAGAGATAGAGGACTATAGCTTTGGGGAGATGGTCTGGTTTTTAGGATCAAGTAGATTTGAACATGTTCGTAGGCAGCAGAGAAGGATCCAGTATGAGAAGATAGAAAATGAAAGGGCATGATTGTAGGGGCAAGCTACTGGAGGGAATAGGATCAAGGAAATAAGTAAAGAGGTTAGCTTTTAGGAAAAGATGGAGAGTGTTGATCATAGGACTTTGAGACATAGACAAAGAGAGAATAGTGGCTATTTAAAATGGCCTCTATTTTCTTAGCATAGTATGTTATGAGGCCCTTTGCTGAGAGAGCGGGTAGGGAATGGTTTAGGAGGCTTGAGAATAGAAGAGGTTTAAAATTGCAGCTGTGGGGAGTATGATAGGGAGTCCATTAGGAGAAAAGGAAAAGATGTGTCTTACTGCTATGTAGACACTGGTAATATTAGATTAACAAATTCATAGTGGACCCAGTTAGCCTGATTGTGTGAATTCCTCTGGCACCGTCCAACAGCACTTGATTGAAAGCATGAAAGGCACATGGTCTGGGTAATGCAGGGTTGGGCTTAACAAGGCATCAGTGGGGATAGAACAAAAGGGTGAAGATTTTTTTCTTTATATATCTGGACAGGCCTAGTTTTCTTCTTGACTTCATCTTACGTAGAATTGCTGCTTGTTCCCATAGACATCTGGTACCACAGTGGGGAAAGTCTGAATATGTTAGTTCCACTGAGGAAACTAGATTGCTGTAGAAATGTCAGCAGAACTGTTCTGTTTGGCATCTCTTTTTCTGGCTTCCACATCTATAAATACTTCCAGTTATAATCTGGCTTAGGTATCACATGAGGTTCTCTGCAAGCTTGTTTTCTTCACTGCTTATTGCTATATTGTGAGGTATTACCCATGGTTTTCTTTGTTCCTCTTCTGTAATGTTTTGCAAGTAGCTTATACTTTAAAGTAGTGTTATCCTTTGCTTCCATATCTTTCTCCTTAGAAAAGATGTTAAGTTTTTTCTGGCTTTGCTGTTTTCATGTAATTTCTGAACTCTGTCAGCCTCTTTGTAACTGTTTTGCATTGGTTAACTTTTAAGAAATGGTAATAGAAACAGTACCTTCATTTTGTTCATTTCTCTCTTTTCAGAGTCAACAAGTTGTTGAAGCAGGTCAGGTTAAAACTGTCATAATCATCTGGCATCTTCTCATCTTTATCCTTTCTTTCAATTTTGCATCTACTTTTAACTTTTCTCTTATTATCTGATTGTACAGTCATTCTGAAATGACTGCTACATCTGTAATCAATTATTTCCTGTTCAGTACGGTCAGTTTCATTTTTGTGATGCTATTTGTGGCTGAGGCTCTAAAGTAGTCTAGAAACCCTTGGGTTTTTTTTCACTTCTTGATCCAGAACCATATTTTCCAACTTAGTTTTTTGCCATCCTTCCCTTTGCCCAACTTTGCATTGAATTCACCCAGTATCAAAGTATAGTTTGACTTAGTTTGGTTAATTTTGACTTAATTTTCAATCTAATTCAGCAAGCATTTGTAAAACGTTCCATATGCGAAGCACTATGGTAGGCCCTAGGCTACAGTAACAGAAATGAAGTAGTGGGGGAGTAATGCCCCACTTCAAGGACCTTAGACTCTAACACCATATACACAGATAAATAAAAAAAAATGTACAATGCAAATTCTAAGTAATTTTGGAGAGATCATTAACAAATTGGGGAAGGTCAAGAAAGGCTTCATGTAAGAGGAGAGAGTACTTTGAGTTGAATTTTGAAAGGAGGAAGGAATTCCAGGAGGCAAAAATGAGCGTGAGGAACATTCTGGGCATATAGTACGACATGTGAAAAGACATATAGAGGTGGGAGACAGAATACAGTATGTAGGAAACAGCAAGTAGGCCAGTTTAGCTAGAACACAGAATCAATGAGGGAGATGCGTGGGAAATTAGTATGGAAAAGAGATCAAAGCCAGATTGGGAAGGATTTTAGGTACCATACAGAGGAGCTTATATTGTTATCCTAGAGAAAAAAAAGAAGAAGCCACTGGAGCTTTGTCGAGGGGAATATCAGTTTGGCAGTTGTGCGAAGGATGGATTGGAGAATGAAGACATGAGGCAGAGAGGCTATTGAAATAGTCAAAGTGAGAGGATTTAAGGAGGGCATGATTAAGAATTCACACAGACTCATGATAGACATGTGATAACAACAATAATAATAGCTAACATTTATGTAGCCCCTGCTATTTGACAGACACTGTGCTAAGTGCTTTACAAATATCTGATTTGATCCTCACAACAACCCTGGGAGGTAGGTGCTATTGTTATTCCCATTTTTTAGATGAGAAAACTGAGGCAAACAGGTTAAGTGACTTTCCTAGGGGTCACACAGCTATTAAGTGACTGAGGTCACATTTTAACTCAAGTCTTCCTGACTCCAGGCCCAGCCCTCTAACCCTGTGCCACCCCAAAGCCCCTAATAAATATTTGTTTAATCCAGTAATTTGGAAAGAAGGTGTTTGATAGGTTGCCATTCACACTGTTACAGGACTGAGTCAGCATATCAGTGAGATCCTAGATCCATTGGACGATCTTGTCGAGATTTTAAAATAATTTTTCTATATCCTTTCCACTAAATATTGGTAATAAGCAATAAGGAATAAGCACTTTGATGGTGCTTCGTGGTAATGTGATCAGTTATCAAAATACCAGTTTCCTATCACTTTAACCATAGACTCAAATCAGCTCTGCCAGATCTTTAATTTATCTCTCCAAGAAGAACCTTTGAGCCATACTTTCATTTAGCCATATCCTCACCATCTATTCCAGTTTCAACAAGATATATGTGGTTCACTTCTATTAATACATTGTTCATTGGTCTTTGGACACAGGTTGCACACAGTACCAAAAGTTTAATGTTTATTTAAGAACTGTATGATTCTTGGGTCTTTCTTTTCTCCTTTTCTGTCACTCTGAACTGACACTGACACTGAAAACATGGAAAGGCTATTTTGCATTTTTGTCTTTTTCATAACTAGCTGCTTCTTTTGATGAACCTTTCTGTACTTATCTAGACTTTTACTTACCATTTAGTAGAACCTCATAGCTTATGCTCCACTGGCATGGCTTTCAAGAATCTAGGATTATTTCCACACCAGGTTGAGTTAGTAGAGTAATACGTTTATAGAGGAAATTTCTGTCTCCTTAATGAAAAATGCTGTAGTAGTTTTCATATATCTATAGTTGAGAAGAATTTAGCCTCTTATAGATTTTAACTTTTCATGTTTTCAGATTAAATATTTTAATAAAATTGTTTGATCTAAGTATAGAAAGAAAATATTTAAAATAGAATATATTTAGAGAAATAACATTTCTTCTTTTTCAGAGTAAGACAAATCTTATTCTGCAGCCATGAAATTTCTACTGATTTTTGACTTTGACCATACAGTCATAGATGAAAATAGTGACACCTGGATTATGAAATGTGCTCCTGAGAAAAATCTTCCCAATGAACTAAAAGATACTTATGAAAAAGGAAAGTGGAATGAATATATGGGCAGAGTCTTTAAATATTTAGGAGATAAAGGAATAAGGGAATATGAAATGAAAAGAACTATGACAGAAATACCTTTTACTGAAGGAATGATAGAGCTTATAACCTTTGTTGGAAAAAATAAAGATATTTTTGACTGCATTATCATTTCAGATTCAAATACAGTCTTCATAGATTGGATTTTAGGAACTGCCAAAGTTCGTGATGTGTTTGATGAAGTGTTTACAAACCCAGCAGCTTTCAATGACCATGGTTATCTTACTGTGGAAGGTGTTCATGTTCATCGTTGTGATAAGTGCCCAAAGAATCTCTGTAAAAGAAAAGTTCTGGTAGAATTTATAGATAAACAATTACAAAAAGGAATGAAATACGCCAAAATTATTTATCTGGGTGATGGTGAAAATGATTTCTGTCCAATAACCTCTCTAAAGAAGAATGATGTTGCTATGCCTCGAAAAGGATATTTTTTACATAAATTGATTTCTCAGTTGCCTCAGGATGCTTCTTTGGAACCTTCTGTTGTAGTTTGGTCATCAGCTTCTGAAATACTTTCTTATTTGAAATTACTTATAAAGAATGATTCATAACAAAATTGGGGATGACTTAAATGAATAAGAAAAGTAGCTCATACTTAAATTTTATATAGTAGCAGAAAAAGTAGTTGTTATATTCTAAAAGAATATATGCAGTATCAATATATTCCACATTTTCATACTTTCCTTTTGAAATGAAATGCAAGAAAGTGTGATTTTTTAAAAAAATGTTTCTAGTTCACTTCATAAAATCTCATTTATTGCTTTACAGGGAATAGGTTTATTCACTGTGCATATGATGCTTGTCAATGTAATCTCCAGCAACAGAACTCAAAATTCTTATGAATATGCATTAATACAGGGCATGTTATAGTAACTATTTTAAAGGATTGTGCTATTGAAATAAAGTCTTACTGAGAAAATTATACCAAAACATGTTAATTTTAAGGATCTAATTTTTAGGCTTAAGTGTCCAGCATGTAATTACTCTTCTGGTTTTTATTTTTTCCAAATTATTAACAGAGGCCCTTAGCCCCTAAAAAATGTACTTAGAATAATTTAATGTGGAAAAAAATGTGTACCATTTATTCAGTTATTTTGTAAATGTAAAACATAAATAAACACATCTCATTTACCTTTATTTGTTGTAGAGAAAGTGACTTAGAGGACTAATAGGTTAAATTATGTTGGATCACATCCAGCCTTACAGATAGCCATCTGCCTATATGTCAGATCTAGTAGTTGTTTATGAAATTTCAGTAGTAAAGAATTAAAAAAAATTTTTTTAGAACTTTATGCAATACATACATACCCTACATAAAATTGTACCAACCAATATCTTTTGTCAGTAACACCAGTAATATGTTATTACAATATTCTATTGGGCCTTTGAATTTCCTCTGTAGTATCCTTTGGTCAAGATTAGCCCAGGTGGGGCAGCTGGGTGGCGCAGAGGATAGAGCTCCAGCCTTGGAGTCAGGAGGACCTGAGTTCAAATCTGGCCTCAGACACTTGACACTTAACTAGCTGTGTGACCCTGGGCAAGTCACTTAATCCCAATTGCCTCACCAAAAAAAAAGATTAGCCCAGGCTCATTCAACTCATGTCCATCCCAACATCTGCCTCCCCCAACCAATTCCATGGTTAGAGCATCTCAGTTCTTGCATCCCCTCCCAGTCAATCCTGTCATCCCTTGCTTCAAGTTACACCCACAACACTCTCCCTCGATGACTGACTGGGCTCCATAGAGCCCTTAGTCCTAAAATCTATCTTCTTCCGTTCTTCCTCCTAATATTTCATTTTAGGACATTGTTACTATAATCTCAATTATAATGTATTTTACCTAATGTCATATGATTAGGGAAATGAATTAACATTAGGCAAGATATATTAATATGTACAGAAATGTATGTATATACAAATATGATAGAACACCAAAGAGAGAAAATATAGCTTTACAGGCCTTAAGGTGATAACATATTCTTGTACTAATAAATTTTATTTTTTTCTGTAAATCTGTACCTTGATATTGAACAACTGTTTTCTGAAGGTAAGTTAATACATTTGAGAAGAAGATAAACTTCTTTAAATGACTAGAATATAATTTTCTGCATCAGTGACTTACTGAATGGTACTCTCATAGCCAGGATTCTCCATGTGCTATTTTGATATTTATATAGTTAGATTACTTAATACAAATAAATTAGTTTTATCTTCCTCAATGCCTGTGAAGTTCTATGTAAGCATTAGGCTGCTAGTATGCTCTTTCTTCCCAATTGATGTTATTTACTTTCTATCATTTGTTACCAGTACATGTATCCAGTAAACAAATTAAAAATAATTTATCCTATAATCTTAGCAATTATCAGAGCTCATCTAGTCCAATCCACGTCTGAAGCTTGAATGCCATTACATCCTTGACAAGTGTGTATTCAGCAACTACTTGACAATGTCCTCTAGTGACAGAAAACTCATGTCCCAGTTCCGTTTTTGAACAGTTCTAATTCTTACAAAGATTTTTCTTGTGTTTGATCAATAAGCATTTGCTCACTCAGGCATTGTACTAAGTGCTGGGGATACAAAAGAAAGAAGAACACAGCCCTTATCCTGAGGTAGCTCACATTTGGTGGATAGTACATACAGATTATATACAGAATGTAAATGATAGGTCCTCTTAGAGGAAAGGCATTAGCAATGGGATGGGTCTAGGAAAGGCTTCTTGCAGGTGAGATTTGAGCTCTTTTGAAAGAGGTCAAAGAAGCCTGGAGGTTGAGGCAAGGAAAGGGGCGCATTATAGGAAGGCTTAGGGGCAGCGTGTGGAAAAAATGCCTGCTATCTGTGTTACTTCCACTTACTTTTGCCTGTTCCTGCCTTTTAGAATCAAGAAATCTGGTTCCTCTTAGGCCTTTAAGTATTTAATGACCCTTCTAAGTCTCCTTCATGTTAAAGATCTCAAGTTTTTTGTTGGGTTTTTTTTCAAACGAGCCACTGTTTTGAGTCCTCACCATCCTCATCTTTGTCCTTTAGACTAATTCTAGTTTGTCCTTAAAATGTGGTGTCCAGAACTGAATAGAGTTTGCCAGATATAGTCTGGTTAAGGGAGGGGCAAGATGGGGTGGAAATTTGGAATTCAAAGTCTTGTGGAAGTAAATGTTGAAAACTAAAAATAAATAAATTTATGTAAAAAAAAGAAGCTAAAAAAAGATATAGTCTGGTTAGATAGAGTAAAATAGACTTATCACCTCCCTCATTTTGGACCCTCTACTTTTATTCATGCAGCCTAGTGTCATGTTAGCTTTTTAGATGTCATGTAATATTGTTGTTTCTTGAGTTGCCACATTGGGAGCATCTCATGGCAAACTTATGGGATGACATGAACAAGTCACATAAGATAGGCATGCATCAGGTTTCAGCCTCCATTATTAAGAGGAGAGCTAAATAAGATTACAGATACATTTGAGTATTTAAATTATCCTATTGGCTCATATTGAGTTTACAGCCCATGAAAATGCCCTGGTACTTTTCACATGAAGTATTGTTTATCCTTCTATTCTTTCCTGGTTTGCTGACTGCTCTGGCTGTTCCTACAAGCTGTGGATATACTCCAGTATTCAGCCTGGATTCTTCTGTTTCCTCTATACTTGTCTTATTTTATCTCATCATCCCCTTGTTTCAATTATCTCTGTGCACATGACCCCCACATCTACATCACTGACTGTCAAGTACACATTTTGAATGGAATATCCTAGAAATATCTCAAAAAATATGATGAAAACTACTTATTTCCTTTTTCCTAAAATCAACCCTCCTCTGAACTTATTACCATAAAAATCCCAACTATCCTTACAGTCACCCAGATATGTAACCTCAGTGTCATCCTCGACTTCTCACTCACCTTCCACCTCACATATACAGTCAAGTTGCCAAATCTTGTCCCTAACCTTTACCACATCATGTACATCTTTTCACTCATCACATTTTGACTGTTGCAATAGCCTAATTGGTCTCCTGGCCTGAAGCATCTCTCCACTTTCCAGCTTATCCTCCACAAAGTTGCCAAAGTAATTTTCCTAAAGTACAAGTCTGACCATATCACCTTTCCTACTGGATAAACTCCAGTGGCTCCCTGTTATCTATAGGAACAAACACAAACTCCTCTATTGAGCTTCACCACCCAGCCCCTTCCTATCTTTTCATGCTTCGTTACACATCATTCTTTTTCATGAATTCTGTGGTCCAATAGTGCTGGCCTACCTGCTTTTCTTCAAACGTGATGCTTAATCTTCCATCTCTGTGCCTTTGTGCTACCTGTCTTCCATGCCCAGAAGGCTCTTGCTTTTCACCTCACTTCTTAAAATCATTGGTTTTCTTCAAGATTTTAGGCATCTCAGTCCTCCTTTCCTAGTCTTATCTAGCTATTTCTTCCTTCTCCAAACTTTGCTTTGTATCTACTTTGTCTATATCGTGTATATACTTCTATATCTACATTGATTAGATGCCTAATTAGCCTAATTAGAACATAAGTTTTTTGAGGGCACAGTTTATTTTTTATTATTTTTATATCTAGTATTCATTACAGTGCGTGGCACGTAGTAAGACCTTAGTAAATGCTTATTGGTTGATTGATTGTACAGTTGGCTTTTTGAACTGAAGTGCAGGACTTTACGTTTATCTCTACTAAATTTAATTTTGTTAGCTTCAGACCATTATTCAAGAACTGTGATGTAATGAAAAGAGCTTCAGTCTAGGAATCAGGAGACCGAAGTGTAAGTTCTGACTCTGACACTAATTAGATATGTTTTCTCTGGGATTCAGTCTCCTAATTCACAAAATGAATCAAACACAGGATTTTGAATTGGAAGGGATATTAAAGATCATTTACTCCACTGTCTTCATTTTAACATTGAAGAAACAAATCCTGAGAGTTACAGGGGCTTCCTCAAAGTTATTCACAGAGAGAGATAAGCAAATAACATGAACTGCATAATAAACAATACTTTTGAATACATTAAATTGATTTTTCAAATTAAAAAGCAATTCTTTATACTGTTTTCTTATTTTTGTTCTGAATTTAAACAACAAAAAAGAACATTTACATATACACAGCAGAAGATAAAAAAAAGGATTGCATATGAAACCATAAATCTCCATTTCATTCTATTTTACTTTTTAAAAAAGGATGTAGTAAATCCTATATATTTCCTTCTTGTGCTGCCTTCTAAACTTCTTTCTGTTCCTTGCATTCTTAGAAATATTACAGTGGCTCTTTTGGGGGACAACACTAATGCTAATCCTCTTTCCCTCCCATCACCTCTTCTCCCACAATTAAAAACTTAGATAAAGGGGGAAAAAAACCACCCTGTAATGAATAAGCAAAAATCAATCAAAATCCACACAGTGTACAAAAATGTGTGTCTTTCTTCACCTTGAGTCCAATACCTCTCTATCAGAAAGTGGGAAATATGATTCAGTATAGGTCTTCTGATCATTACATTGACCAGAGTTCATAAGTCCTTCAAATTTGTTTTTCTTTACAATGTTGCTGTTGTAGAAATTGTTCTAGTTCTGCTTCACTCTGAAGTAGTTCATAATACTTAGGGTTCTCTGAAATCATCTCTTTTCTAATTATTATTCTATTATATTCATATACCACAATTTGTTCAGCTATTCCCCAACTGGTGGCCAACCTTTTAGATTCTATTTCTTTTCTTTTTCTCCTCCTTTTCATCCCCACTTTGGGATTAAGAAATTTGTTTTGCTTGTAAATATTTGCTCCTTGGTATTATCCTCCCTCTTAATCCCTCTCCACCATCACTGATTGTTTCTCTATTAAGCTTACGGTATTTCTACACTAAACTTCTCTGTGTGTATATGTTCAAGTCTCTTCTGGTCCTAAGAGTATTTGAGTAGTTTTCATTTCTGATTTATTTCTCTTAGTGATTTCTTGCAATATAGTGTCCCAACTTTTTTTTAATGATTTTCAGAGTATATGATTATTAAATTCTCTCTCAACCTATTTTTCAAGTCAATTGTTTTTGATATCAGATATATTTCTATTTTTTCAATAGTTTAATCTTGTTCTAATATTTCATACTATCTCATGGAGTCATTGGAAAGTAGCCACTTACAATGATCAAAAAG